AAAGAGGCCAAGCTTAATCAAGAATAGATAATAATCCTAAAAACACATAAAAATATCTGACGTGCCTGGCCGGTGTGGCTCAATGATTAAGCTTCGACCTATGAACCAGAACCTGGTCATGGTTTGATTCCTGGTTAAGGCACATGCCCAGGTTTCAGGCTCTATCCTCAATAGGGGGCATGCAGGAGGCAGCCAATCAATGATTCTCTATCATCATTTATGTTTCTATCTCTCCCTCTCCCTTCCTCTCTGAAATCAATAAAAATATATTTTTTAAAAACCTGATGCAAAAACTGACTATTGAAAAGAGAAACAAATAATCCTATGGGTAGAAACTGCATTATTCTTTTTTAGTACTTAGTAAGCAAACTTAATAAATATTTAAAAGATTAAATGATCCTATGGACAATTATATGACATTTCACGCAAGGATTGCAGAATACATGTTCATTCTAAATAAATGTAGAACATTCAATGAGACATCATATGCTGAGCCATAAAACAAATCTGAACACATTTAATGGAATGATAACATGTATATTATGGCCTATGATATCAACCAAATCAAACTAGAAGTCAGTAACAGAAAGATATCTAAAAAAGTTTCAAACATTTGAAATTAAACAACATGCTTCCAAATAATTGTGGATTAAAGCAGAAATCACTAGGGGTATTAGGTCTAGTAATAATTAATGTCGTTTTCTAATACCTTTTTTTAAATTGAATTTATTTAAACAACACAACAAAATTTAATCAACAATATAGTTGCCGTTGTTTCCTACTACTTGTGCCCAATGCTCAGGAAGCATTTTAATCCCTCTGTTGTAAAATTCTTCTGATTTTGATGCAAAAAATTCGGTCAATGCATTTTTGAGGCATTCTTCATTATTAAATTTTTTTCCAAGAAGAAAGTTTTGCAAAGAAAGAAACAAATGGTAATCGGAAGGGGCAATATCAGGAGAATATGCAGGTTGAGGGAGAACTTCCCATTCCAACTGGCGCAGTTTTTCAGCAGTGATTCTTGCAGTATGCAGTCCTGCGTGAAGGATTACGCCCTTCCGATTAATCAGTGCGGGTTTTCTCTTAAAGCTTGGACTAACCTTTCCAATTGGGCACTATACACTGCACTTGTAATGGTTTGGTTAGATGGTAAAAGTTCATAATGAAGAATTCCTTTAAAATTCCACCAAACACACAACATCACTTTTTTCGCACGCAAGTCAGGTTTTGGCGTGGGCTGCGGAGCCTCATTTTTGTCCAACCATTGAGGCCGCATTTTCAAATTAACATACAGCACCCATTTTTCATCTCTGGTAACAATTTGCTCTAAAAACGGCAAACGGTTTTGACAAGAGAGGAGCGAACTGCAAATTGTGACTCTTTGATTACGGTTGTTGTCAGTCAACTCATGAGGAACCCATTTTCCAAACTTTTGGACTTTGCCAAGTGCACGCAATTGATTGGAAATTGTTTTTTGTGAACAATTTAAAGTTGTCGCAAGCTCTTGTTGGGTAATTTGAGGATTTTGCACCAAAAGAGCTTGAAGAGCTTCTTGATCAAAATTGGACACACGGCCTCGACCACTCTTGTCATCTAACGAAAAATTTCCCTCGCGAAATTTCTCAAACCAACGCTGGCATTTTCTGGCGCTAACTGCATCTTGACCAAGAGCACTACAGATGGTTTTTGCAGCCTCACTTGCTTTTCTTCCTAATTGGAACTCGTAAAGCATGCAGTGCCAAATATGCTCTTCATCCGCCATCTTCTTAGCCCTAGTTTTGCAACAAAAACCAAACCAAACACAAACTTTTTCAAGCAAAACTTGTTAATTGCACTTCACACGTTCTGTAGATACCACATGTTTGAAGGTTATGTCAATACAAGTCAACGCCAGGCAAGATTTTAAACGAATGTTTTAAAACGACATTAATTATTACTAGACCCGATATTTTGCATTTAATAAAAACAATTGTGGGATATTGCTGTAGCAGTCATATAGGAAAAGCTGAAGGTTTAAGAGTGGTGGAAAAAACAAGGTATAGAAAAATATGTAGAATATGCTTACCTGCACTAAATATAAGGGTGGGATTTGTAACCTATTTTGTTCACTGCTTTATCCTGCCTAGGGCAATGCCCAGCAAGTATCAGCCACACAGTATTGTTAAATGATTGAGTGTGCCAAAGGGTGGGATGACACATACGTATTTAAAATGGATTAAAATATTTCAGGTAGGATACACTAAAAACTGGTAACAGACTTTATTGGCAGATTCAAGGTAGGTCCTGAGTGGAAGGAAGGGGCAAAATTTGTAACTTCTATATATTATTACATAGTCCAAAAACAAAAATAACTCTTATATGTATATCACAAATATTTGTCGGAGCAGCTCCTACTGCATTATTATTTCACTAATCACTAGCTTCAATGCAAGAATGAGAATAATGTAATAACTACCATCTTATTAGGAACCATTATGTGCGCTTGCAATTGTCTTGCATGAATACTTCCTTTTCCTCTTCTCATCCCTTACAACATACAGTTCTAATTTTCCAATGGCATGGACTTGTGGAGAACGTAACTCAGAACAAGAGCTGATTTCCTCTGCGAACTCTTCTAATGGTTTGAAACACATTAGGTTAAGTCTTTCCTCCACTAGATGGCACTCTCACTTAATCAACAAAAAACTGACAAGTCAAATTAGCCCTTTCCCCCAAACTGCAGCTAACTGTCCAATCAACAAATTTACCAAAAAAAAAAAAAAAAAAGTAAATCACCTGAGATCTTTCCAAATGTACATGTGGACCTTACTCCAGACTCACAGAATCGGTTTCCAAGGACAAGGGTAGAGGATGAATGCAGTTTTCTAAAACAACTAGCCTGGTGCACTGACTCATCCAGGTCATGTCTGGCCCATCCAGTCCTGATCAGGGGATAGAGAATACTAGGAGATCGGGGCGAGTAGGGCCAGCTGGTGAGGGGCCATGGAAGGGCTCCAGGGCCAATCAGCTGGACCCTAGCAGCAAGCTAATCTAACGGTCAGAGTCTGCCCCCTAGTGGTCAGTGAGCATCATAGCGACTGGTTGAACAGTGGAATGAATGGTTTTACATTTAACATATTAGATGTTTATTATGTAGAATTCCCAACCTCCACAGTGATTGATAAAAATCATTAATTATAACTGAATATTCTCTTAAAAATACAATTATATTATTAGATTGCACTTTTATTAAAGAAAATTATGTTAAGGTACCCATATATAACAGAGTGATTCTATAATGCTTATAAATTATACAATATTGAGGCAAAAGAGAAGATGAACAATATTAACAGTCTGATTCAAAATTTAAAGAACAAGATCTCATTCCATTTCCAGCAACAATGCATTTTAGGAGCTAATGATCCTCTAAGTATAATACAACAAATATGATAATAAAAAGAACAATCTTGTTAGATGCACCAGTAAGCTGGCTTTCACCTTGAAAGCATTTGTCAAAAGTCAAATGATTAAGCAATGATGTCCATATCATGGAATACTACTCAGAAATAAGGATATTCTATTGATAGGTATCATAATTTGGATGAATCTCAAAGGAATTATATTAATTTTAAAAAGCCAATCCCAAAAGGTTATATACTGCATGATTCCGGAAATCAATAAATGCGCTGTGTTGTCTGATAGACTGTCTCTCCATCAGAATGGCAGCCCCCCACCCGGATCCCAGCTTGATGAATCTATTTCTGCCTCTTGGTCTTTTTTTTTTTTTCCTTTTCTTTAATTTCTTAATCCCCAGCTCCTCCACTCAGGAACCTATCGTTTTCTGTGCAGGTCCCGGAAAACAGAGAAACAGCCCCCCACAGAGTGCAGTCCAGAAAGTCAAAACATTAGAAACTATAAAGGAGGTTAAGAGGCATTAAAAAAATCAACACACTATTTCATGTACAAAAGAGTAGCAATGACAGTCACTGACTCCAGATTAGAACTTAACACTACATTAAATCTGAACATTTCAAAATCTCCCTGAAACTCCAGCTATTTGGTTAAAATTTTGTTTATTCAAAATTGATAATTATAAAATAAAACAGATTATTTTCAGTTTTTGATAAATTCATTTAATGAAAACATATGTATCAAATACAGTTTTTTTGTTTTGTTTGTTTTTTCTAAATATATTGACTTCAGAGGGGAAAGGGAAGAAAGAGAGAGCTAGAAGCATCATAGATGAGAGAGAATCATTGATTGGCTGCCTCCTGGGGGGAGGAGGGCACGGCCCCCACAGAGCAAGCAACCCAGGAATGTGCCCTTGGCTAAAATTGAACCTGGGACCCTTCAGTCCACAGGTTGAAGCTCTATCCACTGAGCCAAAATGGCTAGGGCTCAAATACTGTTTACAAAAGCTTAAAACTGTCGAAATGGTATACCTTATCTTCGTCAAACTGGCATATCAGTAAGTCAAATCAGCTGTCAAATAACATTAATTTTTCTTTACACATTTAAAAATAAATATTCTGCTTTGACTTATTTCAAAAGTAAATAAAGTTCTGTAGTGTACCTTAATTATATTAATGCCAATAAATTCTACTTTATGCAATAAAAGACACTGATAGTATGGCATAACAGATAAAAAGACAGGACATTCAGTATGACAAGCAACATCATGTTATTTTGATAAAACAGTACTAATAAGTCCTTACTAGTCTGTGGAGGCTTTTAGGCAAACATATTTAGTTCTCTAAAATTTGGAAAGTAGAAAAAAAATACAGTAATTATTATGACTTTAAAAATAAAAAAAAAATAAAGTTGATTTATGCTTAAAAAAAATATTAGGAATGACCAATAAATAAGAACCATTTCAGAATCAAGTACCACAGGAAAATTACAGCTGCTTTAAAAATAATGCTACCATTCTGCCACTTGTCAAATAAAATTGAATGCAGAAAACAGCTACCTTAGCAGTTTTTTTTAAAACCAATAAAAGTACTTTTTCTACTGATACTTACCATCCACTCAGATATAATAACATCCACTTTTTCTACAGGAAGATGAACTTCTTCAATCTTTCCTTTAATTAGTATGATAGTATCTTCAAGTTTATTTAGTCTGAAAATAATCATAATGAATTAAATTAGTATGTTAAACAGATTCTGAAAACTAGTTAAATTACATAATTTCTTGACAACTTTTCAAATTATTTTGTGGAACTGAACGTATATTCAAAGTTTATTTCTGGGCATATAATTAATATTTGGTCACTTCATGAATGCCCAGGATTATTGTTAGTTAATATTACAATGCACCGGACAAATATTTAAAACTTCATCCTGAGCTCTGGCGGTGTGCCTCTGTTGGTTGGAGCATTGTCCCCTATACCAAGGGGTTGTGGGTTTGATTTCCGGTCAGGGCACATGCTCAAGGCACATACCTAGATTTCTGGTTGAATGGGAGGCAACTGATTGATGTCTTGTTGTCTGTCTCTCTCTCTCTCTCTCTTTCTCTCTCTCTCTCTCTCTCTCTCTATCTATCTCTATCTCTAAAAAACATCAATAAAAACATATCCTTGGGTGAGGATTTAAAAAAAAACTTCATCTTTAAAAGAAATTCTAATTTTATCAAGAGTAGATGTCAACATACCGTTTCCCCGAAAATAAGACAGTGTCTTATATTAATTTTTGCTCCCAAAGATGCGCTAGGTCTCCTCGAAAAGATTCATAGGTGCTCCTTCCCAGAGTCTTCCCTTCCACAGGCAACTACCGATTTTCTTCCCTTCCACTATATCTTATATTTGTATTTTGAGGAGTTTCATATAAATGGAATCGTACTAAATGTATCCTTTTGTGTCTGGTTTCTTTCAACAGGCATTCCTTTTAGATTCATACGTATTTTTGTGTATGTAAGTAGCTCATTCTTTCTTATTGGTGAGTTGTATGTCACTGCATGATAAAATACAATTTTATTTATCCACACCACAGTGAATGGAATTCTGGACCGTCTCCAGCTTTGAGCTATAAAGAATAAAGCTGCTATAAATATTTGTGTGCAAGTAGAATTGCTCTGTCAAATGGCAGTGTATATCTAATATTTTAAAGAAACTGCCCATTTGTTTTACAAAGTGTATGTACAATTTTACATTCTCACCAACAATATATGTGCATTCCTGGTCATTCAAATCCTTGTCAACATTTAGCATTATTAATATTTTAAATGTAACTGCATGGTGAGATTTCACCATTGCATTTTCCTAATCAAGCATATTTTAATATACCAAATGGTAATTTTCCTGTACCATCTTTTGTGCAAATTTTTTGCCCATTTTAAAACTCGGTTCAGTTGGAACATTATTATTGAGTTTTTAAAGAGTTCTTTACAGGTTGTAGATAAAAACCTTCTCAGATTTATGTATAGTGAAATGGAGGTGAGTGGAATTCTAAAATAAAATATATTCACTATAATTATTATTATTCATATTATAACATATTTTTATGTTTCATACACTTAATGTGTGTTATATTTCACACAAAAGTTTAAAAAAGGATGCCTATATCATATTTGAGTTTCTTCAAGGAAATATTTAATATAATTTTTTCTTAAGAAATTGCTACAATTGCTTAATATTGACTGAAATATTTATTAAGGCTTTAACAGTTACAAACACTTCAAAGCAAACAAAAGCAAGCTTCTTAAAAGAGAAAAATTTTCCCGTTGCCTAAAAATATCTTCATAATGCTTATGCAGAAACAAGATGTGCTCTGTAAGAGACCATCTGCTCAGGTTGTTTATTGTCTCCTACAAGTCATAATCCTATTTGCATCAGTAATTACTTGTTCAAATATAAATATAGCAGGAAAGATTAAGATTTCAGGGAATACACAAAATAAATGACAAAAACCATAATTCCCAGTAATTCTGTATTAAAACAGCTTAACACGGATATCATTTACATAAATAACCTCTTTCATGAGACTATTTACCTTAATCACCATCTAATATCTCATTCATGAAAAAAACTATAGATTTTACTTACTGTTCTCAAGTAGCTTCTCACTAAACCTTACTTTTAGCATAAAAACATTTTAAATGAATTCTATCTCTAGAAACACCTGCTCAAATACTATCATAGCTTTAATCTATAGAAATGTGACACTGTAATATAAAAAGGTACCTTAAGTAAATCTCTTAACTAATCCAATAGGCAAAGAAATTACTAATTTTTTAGTGGAAATTTGTTAGAAAAATCAACACTTTCCTATCTCATAACAAGATCGTGGGTAATTGTCAGTTCTTTCCTAATCTTTCTTAAGTTTTCTTAACATAAAAATATTTCCCCTTTCTGTAATTTAAAAGGGGAGGGAGTTGGGTAGGGAAGTAAAATTGGCTGCATTAGAGAATGAACGACAGAGAGCTGTGGGAAGCAAAGACGAACAAATAACTGAATCAGTTACATGCAGATGCATTAATTCAGGTGGGAAATGTAAACATGTGAATTAAGGCATTCGCATAGTTATTGGGTAATGATATTATTCCATATTCCTGAAGCCATGAACCAAAATAAACCAGATGACAGTATATTTAAAGTAAACATAAAGATTCCTGATGTGCACCTGGTATCTGACATGGTATCTGATATGACAAGTATGTCATGTCACCTGGTATCTGACATGACAAGTATGTGCTGCCTCCGTGACCAGCCCTTTGAAAACTATGAACTCTAAGACTCAAGCAACTTCTTTGGGTAGAGACATCTTACAAGACCTCTGAAGTTCACAGGTACAGAGAAAAGTACATTGTACTCTTACAGAGAAAGAGGGATTACTTGGGAGCCTGTACATAACCTCTTTAGTAATAGCTCTCCTTTTCTTGCTGCCACTGGACTATATCCTTTGCTGTAAAAAAAAAAAAATCTTAGCTGTGACTACAACTTTCTATTGAGTCACATGAGTTCTTCTAGGGAGCCACTGAACTAGTTAGGTAGTTTTGGGATCCCCCTCCCCAAGACAGGACCACTGAGTGGACAGAAAATTAAGGACGTGGTAGGGTGGGAGAAGAAATGATTTTAGTTTCCTTGTAAGGTGTCTTGACAATCTTCATTAGAATTCTGTCTTCACAGCAGTAAAATATTTTTTTGGTCATTTTAGCTTCATCAGTGGTTCAAAATTCTGTTCAGTTTAAACTCACTTTTCTGTAATTTCTATTAAATTTAGAAACAAAGCCATAGCTGGTTTGGTTCAGTGGACAGAGTGTTGACCTGCGGATCCAAGGGTCCCAGGTTCGATTCTGGTCAAGGGCACATGCCCACGTTGCAGGCTCAATCCCCAGTGGGGAGTGTGCAGGAGGCAGCCAATCAATGATTCTCTCTCATCATTGATGCTTCTATCTCTCTCTCCTTCTTCCTTCCTCCCTGAAATTAATTTTAAAATATTTTAAAAAATAAATTTAGAAATGAAATATAAAGGAACATCCCTTACTTTAAGAATTTTATCCTGATGTATTTTGTTCTCTTGTTCCCCATCATACACACACACACACACACACACACACACACACACATAATATCACTACTTTTTAAATCATTATGTTGTTACTTTATTCTTCTAAAAAGCCTTTACTCACCATCTAGCATGTATCAATTTGCTAGGTGTTAGGGATAAAAAGATTAAGATAAAACTCCTATCCTAGAAACTAAAGAAGGACACATAAACGTAATAACACATCAAAATATTCTCTTGGCTTTTATAAATGTTTCATTTCTAACAGTATCCTAGACACAGGCAATATGAAAGATTTCATCTTTAATGTCATACTGAGATTGAAAGTATTTCATTGCAGCTATATGATGGATCAACCTTCTTATAAAAACTCCTCTGCAATAACATTCAAAAGTCTGAATAATGAGCAATTCCATGACAGAGCTGATGAGAAACAAGCAAAATAATAAAAATATTACCAGAAGCTATATCTATTCATGAGTGTGAAAATGTACAATTGTCTGGCAACTGAATGGATTTGCTCTCCTTAGGTAGGTTTATGTTTCTAAAATGATCATGCACTGCAAAGTTCCAAATGTGACAGCAAGAATAAAAAACAATTTCTCATTCCTTCTATGTACCACATTGAGCACTATTTGGTCCTGCTAATATAATACCTTTGAACATCTATATTCTTTTTTATACATGTCTGCAACCTCAGAATTATAAGTCTTACCTTCTTTTCTTTTTATTATAATTAATATATACTATACATATAAGCCATAAATATATATATATTATATTTATATATATCACTATTTTTTTTAAAAAACTTACTCTATTCTAAACTCATTTCTTTAGAGATGTTAGATCTCTTTTCTAAGTAGAGAAAAGAGATAAAAATTATGTTGAACACAATTCAAGGATTGTAAAGGGAATATATATATTTAGATCACTTTATTTAAAAAAAAACAAACAAACAAATAAAAAAAAAAAAAACAGCCGAAACCGGTTTAGCTCAACGAATAGAGGCTTGAGGACTGAAGGGACCCGGGTTTGATTCCAGTCAAGGGCATGTACCTTGGTTGCGGGCATATCCCCAGTAGGGGGTGTGCAAGAGTTAACTGATCGATGATTCTCTCTCATCGATGTTTCTAATTCTCTATCTCTCCGTTCCTCTCTGTACAAAATCAATAAAATATGTTTAATAAATAAAATTAAGGTGTTAGCTTTAAAAAACAAAACAAAAAAAACAAAAAAACAACTCCATTCTAAACTCATTTCTCTCAACTGCTTACCTGCCTGCCTGCCGGATAGCCCCTAACTGCTTCGGTTGCCAACCTGATCATCACCTAACCATTCTCTCAGCCAGCCTGATCAACACCTAACTGTTCCCCTGCTGGCCCCATTGCCCCTAACTGAACTCCCCTGCTGGCCCAGTCACCCCTAACTTCCCTCCCTTGCAAGCCTGGTCACCCTTAACTGTCCTCCCTGGCCCACCTGGTTGCCCCCAACTGCCCTCCCTTGAGGGCCTGGTCCCTCCCAACTGCCCTCTCCTGCTGGCCATCTTGTGGCAGCCATCTTGTGTCCGCATGGAGGCAGCCATCTTTGACCACATGGGGCGACCATCTTGTGTGTTGGAATGACAGTCAATTTGCATATTACTTCTTTATTATATAGAAAGGACTAGAGGCCTGATGAACAAAAATCATGCAAGAGTATGCCTTCCTTTCCCCGGCTTCAAGGACCTGATTCCCTCCGGCCACCAGCAGGCACCTAAGACCTGGGCTTCCCTCCAGCTGCTGGCTTCATCCAGAAGGTCACCCGGAAGAATGTCTGTCTAGTTAGCATATTACACTTTTATTATTATAGATTAGCATACATATAGCTGTAATTGAAAAGACAAAGTTATATAAAAATAATTTTCATCAATGAGAACTGTGAAAAGATTAGTCAGATCACACATGTCTAAATCTTATTATTTTGGAATAAATTTTTACTGAAAGATAAATGTCTTGAGTCTGCATTAGACAGCTACTAAAGACAAGAAAACCTGTTAATCATCAAACTTAAAAATAATCTTAAACCAAGCCTTAAAATGCATCTACCTTATGATATCCATTGCCTGGTAAAGAATTTCAGATTGATCAACTCCAAGAACCTTCTTTGCCCCGGCTTTAGCAGCAAACATAGAGAGAATTCCAGTTCCACAACCAACATCCAAAACTACCTAGTGTGATAAAAATTAAAAAACAGATGTTATCGAAAAGATCTAATATTTTAAACTCTATTTATGTAGTATGCTATTTCTGACTATGAATTGATCATTAAATTTTAAAACTTTATCAAATATGGTAATTTCTAAGGATATCATTAAAATGGGTTATTTTATATTTATAACAGTGTATCTGGCCATAGTCTGTTGCAATCGGACACAACAATGTAAATTTAAGAGATGTTTTATATGAAATAAGCAACTTCCACAGACTTCTTAATAGAAAAGTATCTTGCTTTTAATTTCCTTATTATATGCATGCACTAATTTGGGTTTAGTAATTCTAAATTTTAACAGAAATAAACCATCTTAAGTTTGAATGGCAGGAATTAACTTAAGCATGATATCCTGATTCAACAGAGTTAAAAATAGTCACATAAATCCTATACAGGTAGTCCTTGGGTTATGTTGGACTCAAAGTACGTCATTTTGTGGTTACATTGCCATCTCCCATTTATTTATTAAAAAAAAAAAAAAAGTTCCGTCATTTCGATGTATATATAAATACATATGTGCTTTCTGTTTATTATTATTTACTTACCACAAGTAAAGGTCAGGAATGTTATCTTTTAATTTTTTTTTTTTACCGTTTCACTTCATTACTGCTGTGCATGTGCTCCATATGAGAGACATAGGTGCTTATATAGGTGGGTTCTGACTTATGGCAAAAATCGCATTACATCATGCCATACAAATGAGTCTCTGACGTAACCCAAGGACTTACTATATAATAAAAGCCTAATATGCTAAATGTCCAGTCGACCAGTTGGCCATTCAATGAATCAAAGCATAATATGCTAATAAAATGCTAAGGCTGCTCAACTACTCATTATGATGTGCACTGACCACCAAAGGGCAGTCAACCTTCTGAAAGTTTACTATAATATGACAATGTTATAAGTAACCTTATATCCAATCCCATTCACACATGAGTAAATCAATAGGATATATTTTTAGAAGTGAAAACACTGTGAAAATGTGTCAGACAGTATATGCACATTTATAAACCTGTATACCATAACCAAATTGCCCCTCACAGGGCAATTATACTCATAAAGACTACAACCAGCAATGTCTAAGTACCAATTTCCTCATAAGCAAGATTAGCTCATGAAACAGATAAACTTTTGTATTCTGCCAATTTGGCAAATGTAAAATAATAATATGCCAGTTCAGTTTTAATATGCATTTCTATTATTGTGGAGTTTAGCATCATTTTATATACTGAATTGTAGAGCCAACTGTAGTTCTTTATTATGTGAACTATCTACTTATACCTTTCTCCATTGTTACTAGTCCTTTTCTTATCAATTTTCTAATCAAATATTTCTTACCAAATCTTATCAAATAAGAGTTCTTTGTAAATCAAGGAGATTTTACTTCTATAATATGACTTGCAATGTTTTCGCTCAGCATATATTTGTTTTTTATTCTGCTTACAGTGATTTTTTGCTATGAAGAAATTCTTTGCTAACAGTCAAACTCATTACTACTCTTTTAAGACTTCTGGATTTTGATCATAATTAGGATGATCTTCCCCATGTTCTCTACTATTTCATTCTTATACATTTCCTTCTACTACATTTATAGTTTCTTAAATAGAGTTTGTTTTCTTATCATGGTATACACTGAAGTATGGTTCCAAAATTACTTCTGCTCAGAAGGCTAATCAATTGTCCCAACATGTTATTAAAGTCTGTTTCCCCTACTGATTTGATATATGGTTGCTATAGTCTGAATGCTTGTGTGTCATCCCTCCCAAAACCAAATTTATGTATTGAAATCCTAAACCCCAATGAAGGTGATGATGTCAGAAGCTGGGGCCTTTAGGAGGTGATTTAGGTCATGAGGACAGAGCCCTTAAGAATGGGATTAGTAAACTTATAAAAGAGGCTCTTTTTCCCTTCCTATCTCTCGAAAAACAATAAAAACATATTCTCTGGTGAGGATTTAAAAAAAAGAATTATCTGCCGAATCCTGTTTGGCTCAGTGGATAGAGTGTCGGCCTGCAGATTGAAAGGTCCCAGGTTTGATTCCAGTCAAGGGCATGTACCTTGGTTGTGGGCACATCCCCAGTAGGCGGTGTGCAAGAGGCAGCTGATCGATGATTCCCTCTCATCGATGTTTCTAACTATCCCTCTCCCTTCCTCTCTGTAAAAAAAAAAAAAAAAAAAAAAAAAAAATCAATATATTAAAAAAAGAAAAAAAGAATAAAAGAATTATCTCTAAGAAAAACTGAGCGATGTAAGCTAAGTACAAAAGAATATGTATTATACACTCCAATTAGAGGTTGTGTTCTTTTGAAGACTCTCACACACACAAACATATAATACTAGAGGCCCAGTGCACAAAATTCGTGCATGAGGAGAGGAGGTGCCTCTCAGCCCAGCCTGAACCCTCTCCAATCTGGGACCCCTTCAGGGTGTCTAACAGGGATCGGGCCTAAATAGGCAGTCAGACATCACTCTCACAATCCAGGAAGGCTGGCTCCCAACTGCTAGCCTGCCTGACTACCTGATTGCCCCTAACTGCTTCTGCCTGCCAGCCTGATCATCCCCTAACCACTCCCCTGCCAGCCTGATGGATGCCTACCTGCTCCCCTGCCAACCTGTTTGCCCCTAACTTCCCTCGTCTGCCAGCTTGGTCACCCCTAACTGCTCTTCCTTGCAGTCTTTTTTTTTTTTTTTTTAATATATTTTATTGATTTTTTTTTTTTTTTTTTTGCCTCTCTTCCTCCCTCTCATACATCCCCTCCCTCCCCAGAGTTTTATTTTCATTGGTTGTACTTATATGCATGTATACAAGTCCTTCGGTTAATCTATTATCTCCCCCAGATCTTCCTCCCCTCCCCACTGCCCACTGTAATTTGACAGTCTGCTTGTTGCTTTACTGTCTCTATATCTATCTTTTGGTTCATCAGTTTATAATGTTATTATCCATAAATGAGTGAGGTAATGTGGTGTTTCTCTTTCTTTGATTGGCTTATTTCACTCAGCATGATGTTCTCCAATTCCATCCAGGTTGCTGCAAATGATGAGAATTCCTTCATTTTTATGGCAGCATAGCATTCCATTGTGTAGATGTACCATAGTTTTTGGATCCAATCATCTACTGACGTCTCCCCTGCAGTCTTGATTGCCCCCAACTGCCCTCCCTTGCAGGCCTAGTCCCTCCCAACTGCCCTTCCCTGCTGGCCATCTTGTGTGTTGAGAGATAATCAATCTGCATATTACTCTTTTATTAGATAGGATAGAGGCCTGGTGCATGGATGGGGGCCAGCTGGTTTGCCCTGAAGGATGTCCTGGATTAGGGTGGGCGTTCCCTTGGGGCCCATGGTGGTTTGCAGGCCGGCCACGCCCCCCGGCAACTCAAGCAGAGGCCCTGGTATCTGGGGTTCATTTATCTTCTACAATTGAAACTTTGTAGCCTGGAGCAGAGCCAAGCCTTCTGCTTGCTCTGTGGCGGCAGCCATTTCTGTTGGCATTTATGTATCTTCTATACTTGAAACTTTGTAGCCTTAAGCAGAGGCCTGGGCTGGCCAGCGTGTACAGAAAGCTTGGCTTCCTCCATTGCTGGGAGAAACCCTAGCCTCCTGCTCTTTCCAGTTCCATGGCCGCCACCATTTCTGTTTGGATTTATTTATCTTCTATCATTGAAACTTTGTATCCTTGAGTGGAAGTCTAGGCCAGCAAGGGCAGGCAGAAAGCTTGGCTTCCTCCATTGCCGGGGAAACCCAAGCCTCCCTCTTGCTCTCTGTGACCATAGTCATCATGGTTGGATTTATTTGCATATTCACTCCTGATTGGCTGATGGGCATGGCTTGTGGGCATGGCTTATGGGCATAGCAGAGTGATTGTTAATTTGCATATTACTGTTTTATTAGATAGGCCATGCATATATATAATTTATTTAATCCTCATTTTGCAAATAAGAAAAGTGAACATCAGAGAGGGGAAGAAACAGGTCCAGGATCAAGCTAATTTGTAAAGCTGGCATTCAAACATAGGTCAATCTGTTTCTAAAGCCTAGAATATTTTAAATTATATTTTTAATTTTATCTTAATTATCTATCAATATATACAGTACAAACTCCTAAGAAACTGAACGACTGATGGCTATGACGCACAGTGACCACCGGAAGGCAGGTGCTCAAATGCACAGGATCGGGCTTCCTCCTGTCTAAATTGGGCCCGAAAGGATCAGGCTGAAACCAGCTCTCTGACATCCCCCGAGGGGTCCTAGATTATGAGAGGGCACAGGCCAGGCCAAGGGACCCCACCGGTGCACAAATCCATGCACGAGGCCTCTAGCTTATTATACCTAGCTGAGAATTAGATAAATGAGAAAATAAACTAAAACTTGATTGAATCAAAGAGGTACAAATGATAACAGAATAAACTAACACAAAAAATCATAAAAGAATTTGATTCACTTTTTCAAAGGAAAAAATGAATTTTAACTGTAGATCATAATCTAAAGCATAAAGGAGGCACCTCACTGTGAATTTCTTCAATGGACCACAAATGGAAATTAATTACAAATGGGTGGTAACACAATTAAATGCCACCCAAAGTTAAATTAAATCTGAGAAACCATATGGCCTCCACAGGAGCTGTGAATTGAAACAATATTAAGAAAGGAATGAAGGGAAAGTGGCAGGAAGGGAGGGATAGACAGAGAAGGAAAGGAAAAAAGGAAGGAACACATTTTTAAGTATAACATCTTTTTGAAAAATAAATCTCTTCTTGCACTATGTAATATGATTTAGAAGCTAGTGTTGTGAAAATAAAGTTTGTCTACCTAATGGAGATAAAGCAAACAAAAACAATGGTAAATAAAACTTAGGAGAGCCCTATTTCATACATTTTAAAAGAATTATATATAAGTAATTTTATGAACAGAAACTGTATGACCTAAATAAAAAATAGTAGGACTTAAAATGTAACTAATGAATGCCACCCTAATTACTCATTCTATTTCAACATAATGGCACTAAAGTGTAGTGGCATAGGATAAGGGCACTAGACTAGGACTAAAAGTCTTCATGTTTGTTTATTTTTAATGGCCTATTTTACGAAAAGTCAATTACCCTATCGGCATCAAGATTCCTCATGTGTGAAATGAAGGTAAATAGGATATTGTATAGGAACAATGAGGCAACATGTTTGAAAGTAACCTATAAATTATCAAATGCTATTTAAATACATGGTAGTATATTTTCTAAATCTGCACCCATAGTATTATAGAAAAGTATGCCAAATCATTGAAAAATATGAGCCCTCGATTTAATATTTTTAATTACATAAAATCCCTTGAATGTGCTTTAAAAAGAAATTGACATATGTAATATTTTACATTACAGTATATTTTTGAGAAACCATAAATGCCAAGCAAAACTAATTGCACATCGATAAGTTAAATAAAAGTGTCTCAAGCAAATAACTAAAAAAATATACTCCCAACTTATTAATAAGCTCTTTTCTGTCTTTGGCAGATTTAATATCTTCAATAAGAGCAGCAAACAGAAGACAAAATAGTAATAAACATTATATGCTTTCCCCAGTCATGTATTTTGTCTGAAAATATATATAATATATACAACATTTCTATAATACTGCCACAAATGAAAAACAAGAAGTGGAAAGTGACTGTGTATAAGGTCTATGAACCAATAAGATGTGCCCCATATAATAGAAATACTCATAGTTGTGTAATTTTTCAATGATTAATCTTATGATCCTAATTTACCTTCACTTAAGTTCTTATGTTATATATACATAGCAAAAAGTATTAAGAAAAGATAAGTCAAAGAAAGAAAATGATGGTGCTTTTGTTATAACAAAAATAATACAATTTTAGAACCCAAAGGGCTTTAAAAATCATTTTATAGATGAAGCTCAAAAACATTCACCACTTCTTTGAAATTATTCAATAGCTAGTTCCTGAGAAGCTAGGCAAGACTAGGGATTCCCAGACCAGTACATGCTTAATTTCTATGTTCAGATATTAAGAAAAAATAAAATAAAATCTGAACATAATCTCATTATAAATATAAAGAGAAATTTCTAATGGTAACATTTTAATTCTAACTTTAAAAAAAAATTTTTTTAATTGATTTCAGAGAGGAAGGGAGAGAAACAGAGAGAAACATCAATGAGATGAAGCTGTCACCCAACCCAGGCATATGCCCTGACTGAGAATTCAACCATTCATAGGTCAACACTCAACCACTGAGCCACAATGGCTGGGCTGAAGTGTTGGGGTTTTTTTAGACACATATATTAAATGTGAATAGAAAAACTATTTAAAAATTCTTTCTTTCCCAGTGGACATGGCTCAGTGGTTAAGCATCAACCTATGAACCAGGAGGTCACAGTCTGATTTCTGGTCAGGACACATGCCCAGGATGCAGGCTCAATCCCCAATAAGGGGAATGCGGGAGGCAGCCGATCAATGATCAATGATTCTCTAATCACTGATGTTTCTATCTCTCTCTCCCTCTCTCTTTCTCTATGAAATCAATAAAAATATATTTTTAAAAATTCACAAGGAAAAATAAATTATACAAATTTCAAACATAAACACACACAGTGTGAAAGATCATCTTTGAAATAACCTGAGGCAGGATGAAGATTAATTGAAAAATTTAGTGTCTCATAAAGGGGCAAATAAATGAGGTCTTAAAAGAAAGCACATAATATAAACTCTCCCTTACATTATTTATCCCTACATACCAGTAACTTCTTAAAATTATTAATTTTTAACTAAATGACAAACTGGAATATTAATGCAAAGTGGGCTTTGGTATGGGATTTATCAGATATTTGAAATTCACAAGAAGCACAGTAAATAAAAAATATAACTTAAGCAATATTATTTGGATAACCAAAGTTTAACTAAGCTATATCACTGTAATTAATGATTTCAGTTAAAGAAAAGAATATACTGAATGATAAACAGTACCAACCAGCATTTCTGTTATCAGTATTCTGAACCACAGAGCAACATCATAAAAGTCTTCCATGAAATAAAGCCAGAGTACACTAAATCAATGGCTATCACAATAACTCAAGAGAGGATTTCTATTTGCCAAGATCTGCATGAAATGTACAATTCTGTAACTTATGATACTCACTTTGTCTTTGAAGATATGTGGATTTTGGTATATAAAATCTCGGTAACTTTCTGTTCGTATTTTGTCCTATGGTGGAGAAAGAAAAACTTGTGTTTATAGAATAGCCTAAACAAATAAAAACATTTTTAGAAAGTTATTTGATATTTTATTACACATTGTTAGTTTCCATAGCAACCTTCTGCCTGGAAAACCAAGATTAATTTTATTTTCCTAAATTAATAAGAACAAAAATAGCAACAAGACATACACAAAAGTTTAAGAATATCATTGAGTCAAATAAAATCTAAGTTCTTAAAAATGTATACATTTTCACCTTGACATGCATTATCATAAGACTTCAACTGACAATTAAAGCTAACAGAAGATAAACATGATATTTTGCTCCTTTAAATAGGTTTGGAATCTAGAACCTGGCTCCCTGTATTATGAGTTATGTTAAAATATTGGAGGGCGGAAAAAAAAAACACAAAATAGGTAACTGTAAAGTTATATATGAAAAATGAAGCTTAAACTGAGTATGGTTTTTCTAAGAAAGTCATTTGTCAGCACCTATCTGATTTATAATCCTGTCTTTTTTCTACAAATGTCTGTGTTAGGAAATGATGCTTAGAAGTAAATCATTTGAGCCCTACAGCCCACATTCTGAGACTTCTGCACTCTGTGACAAGGCAGGCACTGAATGCTAACATTTATGTTGGTTCATGAACAGAGCTGATTTCCTTTAAATTACCTCACTTGAGATACATACAAACAGCAAATTAAGCAGCAAAGGGTTCTGTTGCCAAGTGAGTAAAATGAGAATGAAAAAAAAATATCTCAAACTAGAAATTCTAGTTTTGGGTCTCATACTAGGTACATTAAAACAAAAAACAATTACACAAAATACAATATAAAATTTATATAAGGCATCCACCCCCCCAAAAAAAATTTTATGCCAATATTGTGATTTAAGAACAACAAAAAAACATTTAAAAGAAGCCTTAAATTAAAAGAAAAATTGTCTTACTTAAATACTGGATCTAAAAAGGGGGAGTTCCATAATTAATTCCACACTTTTTGATAGTTATTACTAATTGCTTTATAAACAACATTTTAATTTGAAAGATATTAAATCTTTCCCTAAAAGATTTTAAGAATTATTAAAAAGAAATCTAATGTTTACACATATTAACTAATTTTAAAACTTAAAAAAACATAGCATTTCATACATTTGTGCCATTTTTATACTCTTCTTATACCATAAGCAGTAATTTTTGCTGACACAATAAAACCTATAAATGGGGAACATCAGTCAACAACCCAGTCACTTGGAAAACCCTCACCAATCACATTGCTTCACTACTGCTCCAACTTAATCATTAGCATCCCAACTCCTGTCCTAAGTTCATGCACTGCTGCTCTGCTCAACTATAATCCTTCATCCAAGCTCTTTCTCCATATCCATCTGTTACTGTTCATATGCTCATCCTGGTGCCATGAAATCCAAAGTATACCTAACATAGTGTTTCAGACAGAGCAGTCTGAATTAGTAACTGAAATTTTAAATATATATTTTATTGATTTTGTACAGAGAGAAAGGGAGAGAGATAGAGAGTTAGAAACATCGATGAGAGAGAGAGTCATCAATCAGCTGCCTCTTGCACACCCCCTACTGGGGATATGCCCGCAACCAAGGTACATGCCCTTGACTGGAATCGAACCCGGGACCCTTCAGTCCCCAAGCCGACGCTCTATCCATTGAGCCAAACCGGTTTCGGCTGAATTAGTAACTGAAATTTTAAATAAAAATCCACTGAATACGAAATGCAAGCATATAAGACTAGCCCTTATAGGGAAGATGGGGATTGAAGGAGGTGGGGGTAAGAGACCAACCAAAGGACTTTTATGCATGCATAATAGTATAACCAAAGGACACAGACAGTATGAGGTGAGGGCATGTGCTGGGGGGTGGGAGCGGCCAGGGAGAGAGGTCAATGGGGAAAAAAGGAGACATATGTAATACTTTAAACAATAAAGAATTTAAATTTTAAAAAAGAAATCAACCAATGAAGGCATAATGTGTGCCAATTAATCAGTTTCTGTTTCTCTTTTCTTTCCTCTCTCTCTAAAAGTCAATAAAAAATTTAAAAAGAAAAAGATCTCTTAGTTATTGATATATAGCTACAAGTACCCTGGACAGAGTATTAGAAATAAGTGATCAAATTGGAATTTCCTGAATACTGTGCTAAAGACACTTATGTGTACTATCTACTGGGAGTCTCAACCTTATCTGTCTGAAAAATGCAACACAACTTTTATGTCAAAGGCATTAAAGGTTTATGGCATTCAGATTGATGGGGTGATGTAAAAGGACAAACATGGGCTTAGATTAACTACTTCAAGGAAAATATTCTAGACACAATAAAATTAATTTTCACAACCATCACAAAAAAAAATGAAGTGAATTTCTTTTATACAATTTCATTCTGGACTTAAAAGTAATGTAGTAGTTCTAATAAGATAACCACTATGTGTAGTACTATGCCATTACCCAACTGACAACAAGAAGCATAACCATGACATGACATGTCATTACTAAAAAAAAATAAAAATAAAAAATGACACGGAACTGCTTTAAAAAAAACCTTAAGTAATTATAATTACTATTAATCAGTAAGCTTTCATTCTTTGAACCTACAAAACTGAAGAAACAAAATATATACATTATTAAATCCCCTGGTTATTTCAAACATATATGTTTTAGGGGAACATAGTCTTGAGGCTTCCATAAAAAAACAATCTTTTGAAGAATCATTTAGAAAGGAATTATCTGTTTGTTCATTTCAAGAAAAGGTTGTGGATTCTAAAATTCGTAGAGATAAACATCTAAAATTTTCATTAAGTTTTAAATTTCATTATCTGTTTTACTCTAGATATTTTCAATTTTACTAAATTGAAAAATTATCTTACTAGTTTACAATCCTATCTAATAAAAGAGTAATATGCAAATTGACATCACTCCAGCACATAAAATGGCAGCCACAAGATAGCCAGCAGGGGAGGGCAGTTGGAAGGAACCAGGCCTGCAGGGAGGGCAATTGGGGGTGATCAAGCCTGCAAGGGAGGGCAGTTGGGGGGGACCTAGGCCTGCAGGGGAGAGCAGTTGGGGGGGACCAGGCTTGCAGGAGAGGACAGTTAGGGGCAAACAGGTTGGCAGGGGAGCAGTTAGGCATCAATCAGGCAGGCAGGGGAATGGTTAGGGGGTGATCAGGCTGGCAGGCAGAAGCAGTTAGGGGCAAGCAGGAAGGCAGGCAGGCGAGCAATTGAGAACTTGCAGTCCTGGATTGTGAAAGGGATCCCAGATTGGAGAGGGTATAGGCTAGGCTGAGGAACACCACCACCCCATGCACAAATTTTGTGCACCGGGCCTCTAGTGTACAATATAATACATGATTAAATATATAACTAGAAATCTATAACTATCAGGTATAACTAGAAATCTACTTGTATTTTATGTGGACATTATTATTATATAAATTAAAACCAGTCAAACTTAAATACCTGATTTAAGCAATTTAGAAAATTTCTCTATATATTAATGACTTCAAATGTAAAAGAGTTATGCCATAACAATTGAAAATGACTTATAATTAAACTTTGTACCAAGGAATTGTTTGTCCAAACTGAAATCAGTATAGCTATTTAAAACATTAAAATTAATCATTTCCGTTGTACATTTAAAGGCAAAAGTATAATTTATTTATTCATATTTATAGTTGTTCTCGAGAAGACTAGAGCAGTTGTTTTTTTTTTTTTTTTTTACCAATGTTCTATTTAAAGCAAAAATAATTCCATAACGAAGGCTAATAATGATCTTAAACAAAACTTAAATGACTTTGATGCTTCTGCAATCTTTTCAACCCAAGACGACCTATCAAGCACCAAAGAGATTTAAAAAGCAGCTATAAAACAAACAAACAAACAAAAACAGAAACCAGTTTTCTATAGCATATGTATTAAGGACTTGTCTTATTAAAGTTTTCCTTAATTATACATTCGGTGCATTTGTGCTCTTTTCTAACCTTTAGCATTTCTTCATGTATCCCATAATGCCCGTATGAGCTGAAATAAACACCATCCTCATCCTCCTGAAGGTCTGCAATGGCAGAAGTAGATGCTGACCAGGTTCTGACATCTGCGTTCATCACAAAATCCTGAGCAAATTGTCTGTAATCAATTTGAAATACACCCTTGAGACAGGTTTATTGGACCATGAAAAAGGGAAGGCTAGAGGTTGAGGAAGAGAAAGGGGGGGCAGGAGTGAGTAGCGTGTGATGAGCCTTCTAAATAATTCTATCATAAGCAACTGAAAGCTCCCCCTGCTGGATCTCAAGCAATGGCATATTCAAACCCAGTTGTAAGCATTCTTTCTGCAAACCACAAAGCACTGCCAACTGCAGATTATTAGCTGTTTATATCTTTCAACTGAATAAAATAAGTGCATTACCTTTATTCAACTTTATTATTCTTAATATTCCAAAAGCTTATTTTAGTAGCTGAATCAATGTTCTATATTGATTTCTATATTTCAGCACTATTAATATTCTTTATATTTCAGCACTATTAATATTCTTTAAAACCTTTTATCTCATCAAAGGGTTATATGAGCAGAAAGTAGACCCAAATTGGGATTTATATACACCAACACCATCCACTGCAGCTCTAAAATTTAGTTCCCCTCTCTGATTACATATTAGAATCTGTAAGGTAAGCATGTGGAAGAAGTGCAAAAATGCAAACAGTAGAGTTATTGGTGGTTACTAGGTTACCCAGCTTAAAATCTCAGAAACAGGCAAGGGAAACTGCAATCAGCTATACTATCCTTCCTCCTCAACATTCTGGCAAATCATCAAGTGGATACTCTCGCAACAACCAAACTACAAATCCAGGAGGTAAAGCTAGATGTATACTTGATAACAAGGCAGAATCTCAGGCCCTACCAGAGACCTCCTGAATCAGAATCTACAGTTTAACAAGATTCCCAGGTGATTTACAAGCACATTAAATTCTGAAAAGAACTAAGCCAGTAGAATACTAATTTACTCACTGGAGAAAACCATGTGTGTCTGGTTTTTCTGATTAAATACTATACCATAATTTAATTATATTTTGATCCTTTAAAAACAAACATTTTGGGGGGTAATGGGGGAATAAGAACACATATGTAATACCTTAATCAATAAAGAAATAAAAATTTTTTAAAAAAAACATTTTAACCCCATATTCCTCCCAAATATAAAAATGTTAATCCTGCCACTTTAAAAGCCTGGGAAAGCAGCACAGGCCGGTGTTGCTAGAGCACTGACACTCACACCAAAGTGTTGCAGGTTCAACCCCCAGCCCCCAGGTTGGAACATGAGCTGAGGACAACCAATCGATATGTCTCCCTCACATCGATGTTTCTCCCTCTTTCTCTCTCCCCCTCCCTTCTTCCCTTTCACTCACTCTAAAAATCAATGGAAAAAAATATCGTTGGGTGAGGATTAACAACAACAAAAAAGCATGGGAGAGGAAAAGTAAAATAGAGAAATCTATTAGAAACAGGGTAATTCGCCAAAACCGGTTTGGCTCAGTGGATAGAGCGTCGGCCTACGGACTGAAAGGGCCCGGGTTCGATTCCGGTCATGGGCACATACCTTGGTTACAGGCACATCCCCAGTGGGGGGTGTGCAAGAGGCAGCTGGTTGATGTATCTCTCTCATCGACGTTTCTAACTTTCTATCCCTCTCAATTCCTCTCTGTGTAAAAATCAATAAAATATATTTTAAAAAAAGAAAAAAGAGGGTAATTCAAAGGAAGGCAGCATCAAAAAACAAAAACACTTCAGATAATTATCATTAGTATAAAATGATAAAATATATGAGAACTTTGTATTAATCAACAATGTCACAATGTATAAAAAAAATGTTAATATATAAAGAAACCATCAACAAAACAACAAGAAAGCCCACTATGTGGGAGAAAAATATTTGCAAATGTTACCACTGATAAAGGTTTAATCAACATCTACAAACAGCTTATACAACTAAATAAAAGGAAGATGAATGATCCAATTAAAAAATGGGCAATGGACCTAAATAGAATATTTTCAAAAGAAGACAGAAAGAAGGCTAAAAGGCACATGAAAACATGCTCAAAGACACTAATTATCCGGGAAATGCAAATCAAAACAACAATGCAGTACCATCTCACACCTGTCAGAATGACCAACATCAACAAATCAACAAACGACAAGTGTTGCGAGGTTGAGGAGAAAAAGGAACCGTCGTGCACTGCTGAAGGGAATGCAGACTGGTGCAACCACTGTGGAGAACAGTGTGGAGTTTCCTCAAAAAACTGAAAATGGAACTCCCATTTGACCCAGTAATCCCACTTCTAGGAATATATCCCAAGAAACTAGAAACACCAATCAGAAAGGATATATGCACCCCTATGTTCATAGCAGCACAATCTACAATAGCCAGAATTTGGAAACAGCCCAGGTGCCCGTCAGCAGATGATTGGATCAAAAAACTTTGGTACATCTACACAATGGAATACTATGCTGCCATAAAAAAGGAATTCTCATCATTTGCAGCAACCTGGATGGAATTGGAGAACATCATGCTGAGTGAAATAAGCCGTCAATGAAAGAGAAACACCACATGACCCCACTCATTTATGGATAATAACATTATAAACTGATGAACCAAAAGATAGATATAGAGACAGTAAAGCAACAAGTAGATGTCAAATTACAGCAGGTAGGGTAGGGAGATCTGAGGGAGATAATAGATCAACCAAAGGACTTGTATACATGCATATAAGTACAACCAATGGACACAAAACTCTGGGGAGGGAGGGTATGTATGGGAGGGGTGTGGTAATGTTAAAATATGTACACAGATAATAATTTAATTTTAAAAAGTTAATATATTTAATATAATGTATCGTTTTAATATATTAAAATTAAATATCTACATTGTATTTTCCAGTATATAAAATGTCTTACCAAATCCTATCTTATTATTAGTTATATTATTTTGGGTGGGTCTAAACAATAGACTGATAAATTACCTCATTCTTTGAAGATCCTCACGTGCTTTAGCTAATGCAGCTTCAGCAGACAGTGCCCTGGCTTCCATATGTTTCAATTTTTCAACAACAGAGGTATTTTCACTGAGTCCATTGGGGAATGAGAATGGGACTGACACTGGTTCATAAAGATCTTCTACATCTAAAAAAAATAAATGGACATTATCAGGCCATCTTATAATCTATATATATAAAGAGCCAGGGACCATCACGTCTAGAACAACTAAAGGCTTAACTGAGCACCAGAAGTTAGTCCTGCAGTCAATGGTGTGGGCGTGGTGACCCAGCACTGACTGCCACAGAGGCTGCAGATCAGGCCCGGAGAGAGGCCTGAAGAGAGAGGAAGAGTATGATCTGCAGCTTATGTGGCAGCTGTTGATCAGCCATTGCCTCTCTTTTGCTCTCCAGACCTCTGCAAGGGCTGCTGATCAGCCCTGCCTCTCGGATCAGGCCCAGAGATAGGCTCGGAGATGCTGACTGGCATAGAAACCAACCAATCAGAACCAAATCTGGGTGAACTGTGAGGAGCCAATGGCTGCCTAAGAGGCGAAGCTTTTGACGCTGACTGGCATAGAAACTGACCAATCAGAACCAAATTAGCCGGCAGGGGAGGGCAGTTAGGGGTGATCAGGCAGGCAGAGGCAGTTAGGGGCAATCAGGCTGGCAGTGGGGGCAGTTGGGGGCAGGATCAGGCCAGCAGGGGGGAAGTAGTTGGAGGTGAGATCAGGCTGGCAGGGGAGGGCAGTTAGGGGCAATCAGACAGACAGACAGAGACAATTAGGAGTGACCAGGCAGGCAGGCTTCAGTTGGGAGCCAGCAGTCCCAGATTGAGAGAAGGATGTCCAACTGCCGGTTTAGGCCCAATCCCTGTGGGCCTATACTGGCAGTCGGACACCCCCCAAAAGGGGTCCCTGATTAGAGAGGGTGCAGGCTGGGCTGAGGGAATCCCCCCCTCTGTGCACAAATTTCATGCACTGGGCCATTAGTAAATATGTAATTAAGTTAGGAATAAATACATATATACTAAATGCCTACCATGCAACCAATTGAAAAAAAAATAGTAAAAGTACTTTAAGTCAATGTATAAATCCAAACTGCTTCAATTTGAATTTAAAGGGCATGCTGTTAGTCTGTTTTTCATTAGTTGGCTAAATTGAACACATAAATAAGCATATACTGAAAGAAACAATAAAATGGAAGGAAAAAACCCTAATATTTACTGATTACCAGCTATCTTACATCATTACATCTCAGTTAATCCTCAAAAGGAAGCTAAACTGTAAATAATTATCTCTGGATTAATGCATGGGGAAAATAAATTTTAGAAAAATTAAGTGACTTGCTCAAAGTTATACAGCTGTTTAATGAAGGAAATAAGATTCAAACTCACACCTGCCTCAATACACTTGTTTGTGGCCTGCTGGATTCCTCCACTGAAAAGTTAACATCTCCTTTGTAATTAATAAATGTCTTGGGCCCTGGCTGGTATGTTCAGTGGTTACAACATTGGCCTGTTCACTAAAAGGTTTTGGGTTTGATTCTTGATCATGGGCATGTATCTGGGTTGCAAGTTCAATCTCAGGCATGTGGGAGGCAACCTAATGCTATGTCTCTATCACATCAATGTTTCTCTCCTCACCCCACGCCCCCAAACTCCATTCCCTCCCTTCCACCCTCTCTAAAAAAAACAGGAAAAAAAAAATCCATGAAAAAAATATCCTCAGATAAGGATTAACAAAAACAAAATAAATTTCTTGGGACGATAGTTTGAACTATGCAAATCATGTTCCACTCTAAATCTTTGTAGACTAGTAACCCTCAAAACTGTCAAGGTCATCAAAAACAAGGAAAGCCTGAGAAATGTCATAGCCAAAAGGGGCTTAAGGAGACATGGCAACTAAAAATACTGTTTATCCTACATAGGATCTTGGAACAGAAAGGAGAGAGTAAGGAAAAACTAATGAAATCTGAGTGGAAAAAATGGAGTTTACTTTTTCTTTAAGTATAATATTTGAAACATATTCCAGAAAGGATATATTCATCTTACCAAACTGAAGTAAAAGGTCATCTTCTAATACTGGCTTCAAATACTCTTCTTTCTCCCAAGGCACTGGATTACATATGGAATTCATATACTCAACTGTAGGATTCTGGATGTAAAATTAATTGCATGTTTTTTCAATGCATCTATATATATATATAAAACCCTAATATGCAAATAGACTGAATGGCAGAACACTAACCAACCAATCAACCAATCGCTATGACATGCATAGATCACCAGGAGCTGCATGCGGAACTTGGCAGGCATTGGCAGCAGGCAGGACATGGTAGGAGTTGGCCATGGCAGGATGGTGGAGCAGGTGAGCAGGGGCGCCAGGACATAGTGGGGCACTGGTCACTGTCCTGGGGCGAGCCTCTGGTGGTTATTGAAAATTCTTTGCTCCCTTATGCCACGGTCCTGCCAGGTGCTCGCACCCACTGCCAGCGCCCAGTGCTGGTCCCAATTGCTCGGCACCATCAGCTGGTGAAAAAAGCGGTTGCCAGCCCTGATCGCCCCTCAGGGCTTCATCTCCCCTGCTCCTGAGGGACGATCGGGGTCAGCAACTGCCTCTCACACCTGCTGCTGACGACAGCCATTTGCACCCACTGCTGGCACCTGGTGTCAGTCCCGATAACTTGGCACTGTCAGCAGGTGCAAGCAGGGCCAGCGCCCTCAGCATGTGGAAGCAGCGGCAGGAGTGGGGCCGCTGGCAGAGAGGGGATTGGGGGCCGCAGCAGGAAAGGCCGGGCAGGGGCACAGAGGATGGGCCGAGACTCGCCCCTGTGCCAAACTGTAGCCTCGCTGCCCACAATTCCTTTCAAGGTGCATGAATTCGTGCACTGGACCCCTAGTATAATCATAAAATTCCCTTAGCAAAAACTAGGAAAATTTAACAAAAAAGGAAATCATGTTGACATTACACAAAATCTCTATTTAAGGAGTCTATTTTCAATTGTCATTTTCTTAACTCGATTGGATGACTGCTTAATCAATGATATCACTGCACAATTTTGTTTGGATCTGGAGGAAGTGGCAATATAAATACTCATTTGAATAGAACAGAAAAAAGAACAAAGTATTTGAAAAATAGAACAAAGAAATTGAAATCACACTAGGACTTATTTTGGATTTTACAGGAACACTTTTAGTATTTCCCTTTTATCTGACTCTGAATTACTTTTCTATAAATAACATTGATTCATCTTAAATGCAGTTAAAAATGATACTTATTAAGCATGGTGGGCATACATTTACTTCAGGGGTGGGGAGCATGTCACCCTCAGGCCTATCAGGTCCATGAAATCATTTGGTCTGGTCCTGCCAAGGTATTAGGGGTGAGTTAATTAAATGTTTGATCAAATATACCAGGCTAATTTTTAAGTTGACAATTTGGCCCATGAATGATGTTATAAATACCCAAATGGCCCCTGGGAGAAAAAAGACTCCCCAGCCTGATGTAGTTGGTCCTGTTTATTGTGGCATTTCCTAATGTCCATGATTCCAAAATGATGTCTGACAAATTTAAAAGTTTCTTGTAAAGCAGTTCTTTATAATCTTTTAATCACCACTGGTAGTGGTAATTCTTTAGTTTCAAAACAAAATTGTAAATTAAGTAACCAACTTACCTTAAGCCTAATAAAATTTATTAGTTTAATGTATCCATAGAATTCAAGTCCTAAAGGGGGGAAAAAAGATAATTTACCTATTTTAAGATGAGTTTTGTTTAAATGACCTGTTCTATAGTGGCTTCTCTAGTTAGACAATAAAATATTTCTGTCCTCTAAACTACAACTTATAATACTTTAAATTTCTTGTTAAGAACTAGAAATAGTAATTTTGATACTTCTGAATATTGTAATTATTCAGCTAGCATAAATGACAAGTTTTTACAGTTTTTCTTGCATTTCTAAAATATGAAAAATTAATTTTTAGAATTCTTTTCATTTCTAAGAGCATAAGAAATCAAGAAACTTAGGTCACAGACTTTTCCAAATATAGGGCAGTTGATATTAGAACTTAGTTTCTTTATTCTCAGTTTTTACAGTGCCTACCAAATTATAATTTAGCCAGAATATGGAGTATACAAAGTGTATTATCTTTAAAGTTGTTAAATGATGCACGTTGGAAAACAATGAGGCTTATCTGGTTCCCATATCTTTCCAGAAATAAAACAGCATTTAAAACAGGGGAAAACAGCCTTGGCCAGTGGTTAAATGATTAGAGCATCGACCTGAGCACTGAAGGGTCTCAGGTTTGAGTTCAACTCAATAGCATTTCCAAATCTCTCTCCAGAGAAATGTTGTATGAGGAACATCATAGCATACAAATTTTTTTTTTTTTTTTTTTTTTTTTTTGTGCAGAATAGCATATAGAAATCCCTATGTGGTGAGAAAAAAATACTTTGTAATAAAACCCTAACATGCAAATTGTCCAACCAGTTCAACCGCTCGCTATGACATGCGCTGACCACCAGGGGGTGACACAAAACATGGCTGGCATCAGCCACACAGCGATGGTAGTGGGCAGCAATGGAGGTGCTGCTGGCCCCGATGGGTCCCAATGAGAGCAGGACCACGGTGGGATGGTGGAGCAGGTGAGTGGGCGGTGCCAGGCCAAGGCGGGTGCGAGCAAGGGCCCAATTGCCCCGCTGATAACCTCATAGATGGCGACCAGTGGCAGTGGTGGAAAATGGGGTGCCACCTGGCTCTGAGGGAGCACTGTGGGGCCATCGATTGGAGCCCAGCCTCAATCGATGGCCCCACAGGCAGGATAGTAGAGCAGGTGAGGGGGTAGTGCCAGGCTAAGGCAAGATGCCAGGCAGGGCTGTGAGGCTGGGGGCACATGCTAGGGTTGTGAGCTTGAGGGCGTGAGCTGGGGCCCTATTCCTGCAGGCCCCCGAGGGAACCCCCCAGTGCATGAATTTGAGCATTGGGCCTCTAGTACAAAGTTATATTTACAGTATGATTCCAAGTCACACTTTATTGTAAAAATGCTTGTTAAAAACATGGAAAAATAAAATCCAAGAGACTAAGTTATTCATGTCTTTCAAAAGTAGCTGCACTTAAATTTATAATTTATAAATATGTTATATCATGTTTATCTAATGTCCTTTGCAGTTGTTAGTAAATACAGGGGCCAAAAAAAAAACCAACCCTATACTTAATTTTAGTGGAGAAATGCAGGTCTTTTACATCCGTTTAAAGAAGCGGAAGACTTTATTAGTAAAATAGATATGGTTAAATGCAAGTCTCAAAAGGATCATCATCTAAATATTTTACTTACTACCTTAATTTTATCAATCCTTTTTCTATAATCTTTTACCAAACTCATTATGAAACTCGACCTTCTAAGCCTTGAATTTCACATTATGCTTTGACTTGGTAAGTTGTCTTTTTTCATAATGTTCCACTTCCTTTCCCAAGTCCAGCTTTATGCTTGCTCTCATTAATTCTAATATATCCTCCTACTCTCCATAATTCTAACATTTATATGATAAAAATGCAATCATTATATTGACTTCCTTTTGAGTTGTGAAGTCAATATAAGCTTACAGTGAAATCCTATCTAGAAGAATGACTTATATTTAATCTTTCCTCAAAGGCTACTGTCACAAAAAGATAGGCTGTTACTGTATATTTCACTATTGTTTAGAAAAGGAAAGGTCTGGAAAAATATAGTTTGAACTTAAATTTCTAAACTAAATTTCCAACTAAAATGTTCCTTATTCTAAAAAATACTCACCATGTTTATGGACCATGGTATCAATATTAAATTGATGCTCAGACTTACAGTGTGAAAATGTTTCTTCAGGAGATGTAAATAACCTGAAAAACCAAGCAATAAATAGCTTCATGAAAAAGTCCCCAGGAAGTCTAAATATTGATTTTATGTTAAACATACACTCCCTTTCTCCCCCCACCCCTCCACCAACCTGCTGGTTTCTAGTTTTATTCCCAATTAAGAGAAAACATACATTCTCTGTAGAGTCAGAAACCAGAAGGAATCAGTACTTCTCAGTTCCATTTCACACCTAAAACCAACCAACTACCCATTAAATGTCAAAGGTAGTTTATTTGCCATTTAAAAGCACTGAATTTACCAAAAGTCTTTTAAGAAAGAGAACTCCCTTTGATAGATTCTGTTTCTCTCAAGATATGAAAATTCCCTGCGTAAGACTCTTTTCTCCTCTGAAGCGTCAATTCTGTTTTTAGAGGCTTTGAACTGGCAAAGCTCAAAGTACTTTCAGAAATAAAGCACAAAATGTAATTTTACAGCTGGCATATTCCCTAAGTGCTGTACTTCAAAGGTGATCTTGGAGTGTTCCCAGAGTACTTGCATTAAAAGACACTGTGAGGACCAAGTCTCGACTATGTGACCTGCAAAACTGAAGGACGCAAAGTAGGCATATGGAGCACAGAAGCTGCGAATCTCTTTTCTATGCCTCCCACAGTGCCATGTAGCAGTTAGCTTTCAACAAATGTTTACCAAGACCGGTCATTTTGCAGCATTTATGCAGCCTGTCACAAAGAAGTCCATCCTGATGCTTCACAAATCTCACCCATCTAATAGCTACCCAAAGGAGGCAACAGGTGCGAACAATGATGAATCCATAGTAAATACTAGGGCCAGAAAAACAATTCTGTACTTTCGTGGATTTGGACATGGATTTGGACATGACCAACCACAGCTGTGTGATCTTGAGCAAGTTACTGATATCGGAGTCTTTTTTTTTTTTTTTTAACCTATGTGAAAAGGCATCAATTCCTTCCCCTTCAATAGGGGAGGAGCCCTACTTAAGGGTTATTCTTTAAATGGTCCAAATCCATGCCGAAACCGGTTTGGCTCAGTGGCTAGAGCGTCGACCTGCGGACTGAAAGATTCCAGGTTCAATTCCGGTCAAGGGCATGTACCTTGGTTGCGGGCACATCCCCAGTAGGGGGTGTGCAAGGGGCACCTGATCAATGATTCTCTCTCATTGATGTTTCTAACTCTCTATTCCTTTCTCTTCCTCTCTGTAAAAAATCAATAAAATACATATTTTTAAAAAATAATTTAAAAAAATAAATGGTCCAAATCCAGCATTGCACTTGAGAAGCTCTTTGCTTGTCTGAGAATTACAGAATGGTAAAGTTGGACTAGAGATTAGTCTAGTGACTCTGAGATTGGGGCCTTTTATAAAAAATAGAGAAGATTCCTGGATCGCAGTCCTGACTTGGAAGGGCTGTGGCGCAGAGCTCAGCATCTGTGTGTTTTTTCTAAGTGTTTCCGGTGACAAAGGTGCACAACCAGAACTGGGAACCACAGACCCAGTTCAAAACCCTATCATGTCACACGCGGGGAAACTGAGGCCCGCCGGAGACAACCCGGCTGCCAGGTCATGGCTCCTCCCTCTCTGACCACCTGGGGGTCTTCCTTCTCCATCAGCCCTCACTCCACACCACTGGCCGCAGCACTGGCGGGCAGGGCACCCCTGGGCAGAGGAGCCCGGCGCTGGGGAGGGAGGACGAACCTGTCACAGAACAGGCAGGGGGTGTGCTGCTTGTCGTGGGGGAGCTCGGCATCGTCCTCGTCCTCCCAGGCGGCCTCGTCCCCGCTGTCGGACAGGTCTGGCAGGTCCTCCTCCTCCTCCACGGCGGCCCGGCCTCCTAGCACACGCAAAAGTCAGTCCGCTCCGGGCGCCAGGACCCGCCCGGCGCACGGGGGGGAGGAGGAGGAGGGAGGGTGGGGAGAGGGAGCACCGCCCGCGTCCCGCTCCCCGGCACCTCCCCCACCCCCCTCACCCCCCAGCGAGGCCCCGCCGCCCGGGCTCCGCGGCCCGGAGGCTGCAGTGGGAGGAGAGGGTCTTTCCACAGCCCCTCGGCGGCGGCGCGGGTGCTGAGGGGCCGGGAGTACCCACCAGTAGCGCCCGACGCTAAGGAGCACATGGCGGAGGCGCCCGCGGGGCCCGGCGTGCTGGGGGCGGGGACCTGGCGGGGCGGCGCGCGCGGCCGGCGCGGAACTCTCGGACCGGCGCCCGGGGACGAGCGCGCGCGCACGCGCGCAGCGGGGCAATAGTTGGGGACACTTCTCACGGGCCGTCTGGACACGCGAGAGCGCGCGCACGTGGGCTCGGGAGCGCTTCCGGCCCCGAGATGGCGGCGCTGGTCACGTGGGGAGGGGCGTGGCCAAAGCCCCGGGTGGGCGGGGCGGAGGCCCGAGGTCCGCCTCTTTCCGCCGCATCGTTGACGCAGTGCGCCCGGAGCCGGCGCGTTGAAAGGAGGTCTTGAGTGGCTCAGCCTCGGATACGACTCTAGTGTCTTCCTCCCGCTGCCACAAGTTTAGCGGAAGGTGCCCGCCCGCAGCCCTGTGCCGAGGTGGGGAGACGCCGCAGTGGTTTTGTAGTCGGCATCCCGCCCTCTGAGCTTCCCCCATTCTGGGTTCACGGAGGGGAGAGCGGCTCGCAGCGCCCTCTGGTGGCGGAGGAGGCAGAACGCAGGCAGGAACCGGACTCCTCTGGTTCCTGGGCTTCCCTCCCCCCTCACCCCCTGCGGTAAAGTTGGGGGAGAGAGAAAGGGGGATCCAACGTGGGTGTATTACCGAACAAAACCTTGCAGGCTGCTTTAAGGATTTCAGTCTTTAATGTCCAGTGGTAAAGGGAGAACATGGACTCCATAGCCAACCTACTAGTACTTGGTTTGATTCCTTCTTCTAACCCTTTTCCAGGGAAAGTAACTTCACAAAGTGGTCTGACCATAAATCCCTAACTGGGCAGGTCAGGTTGGGTAATCAACCCCAGGCATATAAACTTTTAGTAAAAGGTTCATCTTGACCTTAAGCAAGCCCTGTCCATTGTTTCTGTGTATCTGGTTTAATACACCTTTGAAATTAACCATAACCACCTTCAAGAAAAGCACAGAACCTCGTTAACTATATCCAGTAACCCAATCCTGGCCTTGTTTGTTCCCACCTTTATGTAATTTTCCTTACATTCCCTCCTTAATTTTAAATGCATAAGAGAAACTGCAAGACTTATTCTCCGGAGCACTTGAGATCTTGTTCCCCAGCATTATGTCATCAGTTTGGCTCAAATAAACTTATTAAAATTCTCTACAGGTTTGGATATTTCTTTCGTAGACTCTATGATTTTTGACATCTCCTTACCTCCATTTCCTCAACTACAAAATGGAGATAATGCACTAACCACAGGGTTATTATAAGGATAAAAATGAGTTGATATATGTAAGGTGTTTAGACATAAATGTTAACTTTATCCTCAGTAACTGTAAGGAGTTGACCTGTTTGGTTAAGCAAGGGAGTAATACTGTCAGATGTATTTACTTATTTTTATTTTTTAAAAGTTATTATTGATTTTAGAGAGAGAAACATCAACTTTTTCCACTTATGCACTCGTTGGTTGATTATTCCAGTGCCCACAGAAACTTGAAATGTATTTGGCAGACTGTGAAAATCGACTGAACCACTCAAATCACTTAGCTTCCCCCCCGGAGAAACGTTAAGCCTGTTTCACCACCAGCCTTTATTCCATAATGGAATTATCACTGTGTTCCTCTTCACTTTGACCCTTCTGCCTTTTCCCTTCCTTTTCTGTCGTTTTTAAGTTGCAGCACTTTGAGAAGTACTTTCACTGCTATGTAAACATTTTGTGGTTAATCGTTACAGGGAGAAATCCAAATGTTTTTATTTAATTCACACACAGCACGTACTGATGCAGCAAAAATTCACTGCATTTTTCTGGAATTACACAAATAATGGATGCTCTTGCAGAGCGGTTAAAAATTCACGTCATGGGATCAGGCTGACTTGGGTTAGAATGCTGGCTCTGCCATTTCCTAGCTTCGGGTCTTCAGCTTTGGCCCCTAGGGCAAGGCACTTAATGGCAGCGAGTTTCAGTTTCCTCCATCTAGGATATGAGGATGACCCTGTAACTGCAGAGCCTGGTCCTATCCTGTTTCTTATAAGGCCCAGAACCAATTTTAGACCTTGAATACACCACTTACGAGTAATACTTGGGAAACACCACTCACCAGCAACACTTGTGAACCCTTTACTGCTACTTTTTAAAAATATATATTTTATTGATTTCTTTATAGAGAGGAAGAGAGAGGGATAGAGAGTTAGAAACATCGATGAGAGAGAATCATCAATCAGCTGCCTCTTGCACACCCCCAACCAAGGTACATGCCCGCAACCAAGGTACATTCCCTTGACCGGAATTGAACCTGTGACCCTTCAGTCCGCAGGCCAATGCTCTATCCACAGAGACAAATCAGTTTCGGCCTTAACTGCTACTTCTTAAAACCCCATCCAGAGGCCTGGATGAGACAGATTTGAGCCTTGCCTCCTGTCTTCTTGCCACTGACTTTCAAATAAAGCTCCTTTCTTTTCTCAAAGAAAGCCTGTGCCATAGTTTGGCTCCTGTGTGCTGTGGGCAGTGAACCTGTGTTCACTAACAGCAAGCACTGCCTATAACCATTACAAGAGTTTTTTGGAGGGTTCAAGGACAGATAGCATGTGTAAAGGCTGACGCTTAGCAAACACCCAGGACTTGTCCATTTATTTTTATTCCTCTATTAAATTAGGAATTATAAAAGCTCAGTTGTATAATACATTTTATTATATATTCTAAAGAAATAGTAAGGCACAATGTTCACTCACCAGGGGAAACTTACACAAAACCACAGATTCCTGTGCCCATACCCCCACAATATTGGCTTCAGAAGGTCTGAGGCAGAGACAGGGCCTAGGAAGCTCCATGTTTGAAAAGCTCCCTGAGTGCTGTACAGTTGACCTTTGAACCACAGGTGGGTTAGGGGTGCCACCCCTGTACAGTTGAAAATCCACATATAACTTTTGACACCCCCCCCCCTCCAAATCTAACTACGCCCTGCCCTTCAGAGCCACAGGTTTGACACCCACAGATTTAAGCAACTGTGGATTTAAAACAATATTTTCAATCTAAAGTTGGGAATCTGGAGATATAGAGGGCCAACTGTACTAATAGCGGACTGCTGACCAGAAGTCTCCCCAACAACATACACAGTAAAATAACACACATGTTGTATGTCGTATGCATTATATACTGTATTCTTACAATAAAATGAGCTAGAACTTGATCTCCCCACCAATAATAATAATAATAATAAAAAAACAATAAGCTAAAGAAGAAAATGTTAATAAAACATAAGGAATAGAAAATACATTTATAATATTTATTGAAAATAAATCCATATATAAATGGAACTACTCAGTTCAAACTCATGTTGTACAACGGTCAATAATTGCTGTGGCAGAGCACAGTTATTTTTTAATTGGGCCCGGGTGGCTGAAAATAGTGAAACCCCAGTTAAAGCATGCTTTTTTTTTAGACCTTTAAATTAACGATTAGATGATGAGTGCTGAGTTTGACCAAAAAAGCACTTCTCAGGTGTGATCATGGCTTCAGAGGGCCGTCGGCTTTCCCCAGATCGTGGATGGCCTTGTTGTCCAGCAGCTCCTTCTTCTTGTCACTTGGTCTCACTAAGTTGTTCAGCATCGCTCTAACCACAGTCACCACTGGTACAGAATGCCCACTGGCCCAAGATTCTGGTAAGGAGCCAAAGAATTTCCTAATCACCCATTCACCTGGGCGAGATTCTTGCCTATCACATAACAGAAATCTAAAGAGAAAACAAAAAAGCAGAGGAAAGGATGGTAAACTACATTCAGACCAGAGAATGTGATAGACTAAGCCAGTGGTAATTTTGCTACTGTTATGAATCAATGTAAATATCTGTGTTTTCTGATGGTCTTAGTCACAATCCACAGGTTGAGAACCACTGCTGTAGAGTCTAAGACCATCAGAAAAACAGTTATGAAGTAGCAACGACAATAATTTTATGGTTGTGGGTCACCACAATATGAGGAGCTGTATTAGAGTTGCTGCATTAGAAAGGTTGAGAACCAGTGGACTAAGCTGTGTCTCTCCTAAATTCATGTTGAAGCCCCAACCCACACATGTGATTGTATATGAAGACAGTGCCTTTAGGAAGGTAATTTAGGTTACTTTAGGTCATAAAGGTGGAACCCTAATCTGATAGGACTGGTGTCCTTACAGAAGGGGAAGAGATATCAGAGACTTTCTTTCCCTCTTCTCCTTCCCCTCCCCCTCCCTTTCCGTCTCCTTCTCCCTCTCACTCTCCCTTTCCCTCTTCCTCTCTCTCTCCCCCATGCCCACACAGAGGAAAGATCATGTGAGGGCACACAGGAAACTATCTACAAGCCAGGAAGAGAGGCCTCGCCAGACACTAACCCTGATGGCATCTCAGTCTTGGACTTCTAGTCTTGGGAATTGCAAGAAAATGAATTTCTATTGTTTAAGCCACCCAGTCTATGGAGATACTCTGTTATGGCAGCCTGAGCAGACTAACACAGTGGCTAAAAGGTCTAATTTGGTGCATGGAAAGGATTTAAAAAAAGAAGGCAGCAAAAGCCACCCAGGAAATTCCACCCTATTCTGAACCTGGCACAACCACCTGCCCCCCCCCCCCCACTCCCTTCTTTCAAAGCCAAAAGTGGGCTTTTCAGAGAATAATCCAACTCTAGACAACTTCTTTCATGCCCTAGATATCTTATTTGTCAGTCTCTTCAAATGAAAACTCCCTTCTAGGGAATAACCAACAGTGGTGTGTTCTTAGGTAGCGTGAATACTCACCCAGGCCTAAATATGGAGTAACGATCAAATTTTAATTCTTCCACCTTATCTTCCACTTCTCCCTGTTTAAAAACAAACAAACAAACAAACAAACAAACAAAAACACACCACGCATACAAAAAAAAACACACACCACATTTTTAGTATTTAATCAAAACCCATGTACTATAATGTTCAAGAGAGAATAACTGGGTTTTGAAGATAATCTGCTTCTGTGGGTCTCAGTAGAACTGACCCTTAAGCAATATGGGATTAAACTGCGTGGGTGGTTTTCCTCAAAAGACTCACACAGTTCAAACTCACATTTTTTTAAGAGTCACTCCAAGGCTTCAAGGACATCCACATATGCGAGGGGCCAACTGTAGTTATACGTGGATTTTTTACTGCCTGTGAGGTCAGTACCCCTAAGTCCCACCTTATTCAAGGGTCCACTATACTTACAAACACGCTTATTCAGATTTATCCTTAACTTTCCAGAGAGTCTGGGAAGTTAAGGAAGAGATCATTTAATCTGGACACGCAGTAGAGTTAAAAAAGAAAATACACTGAATGAGTGAACGTCTGCATAGTCACCTAGCTTCTCATTTGACTGATACTAACAGATCCAGAGAGAATACATGACATGTTAGGAGTTCAACCATAAAGAGTAACCTCCCATTCGTCCAGAATTAATGGTATAGGCTTGCAGACATTAACCTTTTTCGGTTTCCAGGTAATTCCAGTGGGTCAGCAGTTCCATAGACCCTCTATATTATTCATTTCCTAACAAACCCCCACCAAGAGATCGATTACATCTAGATAATGCTTTAAATAAAATTTGTTAAACAAACCATGAATTTTCATGCCAGGCATCTCTAAAAACAGAAATGCCAGAGGAGCTCAGTAACAGGTACATGTGAAGGACTGATAAATGAAGCGGCATGCTCTCCTCCCCTTCTTGGCCTGTTCATACCATTCATTTGGCACTTAGCCTATAATTTATGTCACATCCTATAATCTTAAGTAGCCTTTTTTTTTTAATGTTTTATCTTTGGTGGTCTTATGCTTAAATATTTTCTAATAAAAAATATGGTTTTATTTATTTTGGAGAAAGAGGAAGGGAGAGTGAGATAAACATGGATGTGAGAAACACCAATTGGTTGCCTCCCACATGCACCCTGAACAGGGATTGACCCGAAACCTAGGTATGTGCCCTGACTGGGAATCAAACTGGCAACCAACCAGGACAATTTTATGTAGCTTTTAAAAATATATGTATGATTTCTATGCCATAGATGGTTTGGCTAGGTCCATATAGTGTCAGCCCGTGGACTAAAGGGTCCTGGGTTCAATTCTGGACAAGGGTATATACCTTGGTTGCAGGCTTGATCCCCGGTTCTGGTCAGGGTGCACGCTAGAGGCAACCAATCAATGGGTCTCTCTCACATCAATGGAAAAATATCCTCAGATGAGGACTAACTAACTAATGTTTTCTAGTATATTCAGCAAGTTTTGCCCCTTTCATCTGCAATCTTAAAATATTTTATTACCCCAAAAAAGAAACCCAGAACCAAACAGCACTCAGTCCCACCCTTCCCTCTGAGCTTAGCCAACCACTAATCTTCCTGCCTCTATAGATTTGCCTATTCTGGACATTTCCTATAAATGAAATCATACATGTTGTGTCCTTTTGTGACTGCCCTTCCTCGTTCAGCATAATGTTTTCAGGTTTCACCCATGCTGTAGCATGTATCATTCATTCCCATGTAATACACTTTGTATACATATACCACATTTTATTCATCCAGTTATCAGATGATGGGTAACTGGGTTGCTTTCACTCTGGCTCTTAGGAATAACGCTTTTATGAACATTCAGATAGAAGATTTATATGGACACGTTTCTCAGTTGGCTTTATACAAAGACATGATTTGTCTCTGTTAGCAGGGTGCTTAAGAGTTAACCCGGCAGGCTGAGACTGCTATCTCAGAAAAGCTTGCTGGCAAGGTTGCCCTCTGGCTTGAGAACTTGGATTTCAGGAATGCTCCCCTCATTACCTAACTGATATGGGTAGTTCGCTGTGCCTACACCATTTGAACAAACAATGTGTTTTGTGAATAACTCTTGCTTTCCTTCTGGAAGTCTGTAATTGTTTCTAAGCTGAGGGTGCCTACGGGACGGACCCCCATGAAAACCCTGGACTCCTGAGCTCAGGTGAATCTTTCTGGTAGACAATATTCACTGCTGGGGAAATGAAGCACATGCAACTTCACGGGGAGAGAACTTTTGGAAGCTTATACCTAGTTTCCTCCAGACTTCACTCATGCATTTCTTCCCTTTACTGACTTTGCTTTATAGCCTTTCATTGTAAAAAGTCGTAGCTGAGAGTATGACTATATTCTGAGCCCTGTGAGACCTTCTAGCGAATTACCAGACTTAAGGATCCTAACAAAACAAGCATATTATAGCCGAAACCTGTTTGGCTCAGTGGATAGAGCATCGGCCTGCAGACCGAAAGGTCCCAGGTTCTATTCCCGTCAAGGGCATGTACCTTGGTTGTGGGCACATCCCCAGTAGGGGGTGTGCAAGAGGCAGCTGATAGATGACTCTCTCTCATTGATATCATCCCCAGTAGGGGGTGTGCAAGAGGCAGCTGATAGATGACTCTCTCTCATTGATGTCATCCCCAGTAGAGGATGTGCAAGAGGCAGCTGATTGATGACTCTCTCTCATCGATGTTTCTAACTCTCTATCCCTCTCTCTTCCTCTCTGTGAAAAATCAATAAAATATATTAAAAATAAATAAATAAAAAGATTTCCTTTAAGAAGAGAGAATAAATTTCTTTAAACACACACACACACAAAACCAAGCATATTATAAATTCCTTGAGGACAAAAAACATACACAATAAAATATCATCTACTTTGGAAATTTTTAAGAACCACTGCCTCAAAGTCTCTCCTAATGTTAAGATTCCATGCTGATAATTCAAGATCAGAGCTGCCCTATCTCATTTCATGATTACTGGGTCCTCAACAGGGGGCAATTATCTTTCCAATCACTTTGTTTACTAACTGTATCCCTGCAAACAGTCCCTGTAGCTATAAAAGTGTGTAATCTAATGCAATTAGGGCATTTTTGTAATATTTAGCATCCTATATTATTTAGTACTGCCAATTACCCAGGGTTCTCCAAAGTATCTATGAGAGAAACATGCACAAACCTTAACTTGCAGATACAAAAAACTGCTCGACTTGTCAGCTCCTTTGGAGGACAGCAGGTTGAAATGTTTGCACCCTCCAGCTTTTGCCAGTTCTGCAGATTTCAGGACATAATCTCGATCGACATGAACAAATCCTTCCTGAGAAGAAAGAGAAATAAGTTATTTCCAAAAAGCTGTGAGTTCATCTTAAAGGTTACTACTCAGCCTGGGTGGCAACTTAGGAGGTCTGATGAGGGGAAAGGGGTGATAAAATCTAAATAAAATGTATCTAAGCAATACATGAATGTTGTTCCTTGGGAAAGGCTCTAAGTGTGATCCTCAGGATAGATAGATACCAGCTTTAGCAGCAAAGCCAGACCGTAATGAAAAACCAAAGCCCGTGGGTGAACTGTTGTTGTTTTTCTCATTTCAAAAAATTAAATAAAAATTAAAAAATAAACAAAATGGTATTGAAACCCAGACATCAAACAAATCAGCAAGGAACAAAAGTAACAATAATATCAAGTTGCAAGACTGCTTTTAATCACACAGTTCTTTGTCTTATAGCAATTTTACACCTTTACAGCCCTCTCTGTTTTCTCTATTCTGTGTCAAGTCTAACATGGTAGAGACAGCTGAGAGTGGAGTGCACATTTAAAATTGTTTTTCTTGAAATAAAAAAAAAACCCTGAAAAAAGGGGGAAGGAAACTAATACAGAATTCAATTTGAAAACAATAGCCCCAAGCATACATTTTTAACATTGTACTGAAGTAAACCATAAAAGAAAAGTAAGCATATTGTATGTATAGAGCTTGATGATTTTTCATAAACTGAACATTACTCTGCAACCAGCTTCTAAAATCAAGAAATAGAGTCTGGCTGGTGTGGCTCAGTAGTTGAGCATATGCCATGCACCAAGAGGTCTCTCTCTACTTCGATTCCCAGTCAGGACACATGCTTGGGTTGTGGGCTAGATCCCCAGCAAGGAGCGTGCAGAAGGCAGCCAATCAATGTTGATGGGATATTTCTCTCTCATCAATGTTTCTATCTCTCTCTCTCCCTCTTCTCTCCTTTCTATAAAAATCAATTTTATATATATGTATGTATATGTATATATTTATTATTTATTTATTTATTTAAGAAATAGAGCATTACTATTGTCCTAAAAGCCTCTCTTATCCTCCTATCTCATTGTTCATAGATAACAGCCTCACATTTCTACCTTACTTTGGGGAATATAAACTTAAGTCTTAACTAATGAATCTCTTTTTGTACCTATACTTGGACATTCTACCCTGATTTGAAGACCTGTTCTACATACTGATTTGAACTTGGGTTATTGCTTTCTTAAATCTAATTTTAATTCTTGGCACATCCTGAGAGAGGGATGTGATTCTCCTCCGAGCCATCCTCCGAAATGAGATTTTACATGTGCTGATAGTGTGCCAAGAAAAACAATCCAAACTACATAGAAAAATTCCAAAAACACTTACTTTCTCTTCCAGGTCTATTTCTTCCCCTTACTGTAATTCTCCAGAACTCTGATGTCAATAACAAGTTACTTATTCATAGTAAAGTGACAGAGTTGACTAGAGAAATAAATTTATTTTTGTGGTGGCTGTGGTTTTAGCACTGTTTCTTGGAAGGTGCATTCTAGTTGTCCCTGTTAAAATGCTTTTCTTTCATCGGCTTCTTTAAAAAGAAGGGAAAGATTCAGCCAATCACCAGTGTTTAGACCGACGCTGTCTCCCTCACTTAATCCACAGCCAGTAAAGGGATAATTTGATTAAGTTGAGACCCTAATTTATTTGGCGTTAGTTCTGGATCAACCTCTCCTTAATAGAGTGCTGTCGGCTCCAATTGTTTGGTGAAAATTAAAGTGACATAAATACCATGGGACTTCTGCAGTCTGATTAGTCAGCGAAGGCACATCAATACCACCCCAGCCATCAGACGCTGGCGTCCCTCCTTTCACCCGCCTCGCTGACAACTGACAACCGCGCCTTGAAGGAGGAGCACCCACGCTGCTTCGGAGACCCCCACGCTTAACCCATCATCCCTGCTCAATGGGCCCGCTTGACAAGGTGCCCATACCTTTCTCCACCGCTGTTCTCCGGACAAAGCTAAATATTGTTTTATGAGCTATCAATGGCTGTTAATCCAAACCGATTTCACAAATCCTCTGAGCCCTCAAGCGGATTATAAATACGCATTTATCCAGGCCCACAAATTTTTGAATCCCACTTTCCCCGCCCTGATGCGTGCCTTTTTAGCTGGTGAGTGAAATTCAAAAGCAATGGGTTCCATGGCTTTCAAGGACTTAGAAACCAAACGTGATCATGGGTCCTGCCGACTGACTCAGAGACATCGACACATCAATTTCTTTGGAGTGAAGAAGATTCCATGGATAGATAGAAAGCAGCCATCTTTAAAATCTTATTAATACCTTTTCTTATTCTCTAATGGTGAAAAACAAAACTAAAAAAGCTACTCCATATCTCAGAAACACAATTTTTCGGAAAAACTGTATTTAGTTTCCCTAACCATAGAGCAGGAGAAAAAGAGTCTCTTCTGAGCATAAAATCCATTATGCTAATGTGTCTTTATGATTCCAAAGTCAGTGGAGACCACGCTAAGCTAGAAATCAGAGTTCCTTCTGGAAAAAGGAATTGATGAAATACGGGACGCATTTTCTTTCCTAGTACCTACTTGAAAGAATGAACACAATGTAAAACGACTCTTCACAGGTTCCACAAACATCTAGAGAGAAAAACTCTCCAATTATTCTTTATTCAAATCTTATTCAAATCCAAAGCTACTAAGTATTTCTCCTAATCTTCTTTACCAACGGCTGAAAACTGGGAACACTGGCTTAAGAACAACTCACCCTAATGGAGTATTTCAACAGTGACTGATGAAACCAGCAAGCACGCCAAAATGACTCAAGGTCACAGGGATCCTTCTCCAAGAAGGGCAGATCTATCATTCTGTACAGGGTCCCACTGAGCCATATTTTTGCTTCAGATTCTTTCCCCTTTACTCCAACCCTATAAATCATTCTAGAATACAGAGATGCTGATGAACAACAAATGCTATCATCTGACACCCCAGTTGTTTGTATCCTGGAGGGCACCTCTGTGTTCGCTGTGCAGTGGTGGAAGCATGATCGTGGTTAGAGGAAGAGCTCTGGGTAGAAAAAGTCAAACAGGAAGATTCATGAGTAAATCTCTATACTCGAACAGAATTTTCCCAGATGGAAATTTCTTTTCTCAGTGTTAGAAAAGTCAAAGAATTCTGCAGGCCACATGGGCTTTAGTGGTCACCTGCCTCTCAGTACAGACAAGGAGGCAGTGGTCCACAGAAGCTAAGCACACACCGGAGGCCCCACAGCTACCTAGTATCCAGAGCTTATGATCTGGGTCCCTCAAAGCACCTAGGACCTTGTCACTTCACACATGCCCGCCCCCCCTAGACATCAAATAAAATAGTAGAAATTACAATGGGGGTGGGCAACCTTTTCCTGTAAAGGATGGGATGGTATTTTCAGATTTGCAGGCTTCTGTTGCAATTGTATGGCTCTGATGTCATGGCACGAAATCAGCCATATATAATAAAGTAAATTTTAAAAAAAAGTAAATAGAATAACTATGTTCCAATAAAACTTTATAGATACTGAAATGTGAATGTCTTATATTTTTAAGTGTCAGGACATATTATTCCTCTTTTGTAAAAATCATTTAAAAGTATAAAAACATTCTCAGATCAGGGTTATACAAAACAAAGGCTGTATTTGGCCCCTAGTATGTAGTTTACAAGCCCTTGCATCAGAAATTGTCAGCTTACTTTTGGTCACCATCGCCTTAAACCATTTAGCCCTAACTCATTTCTGAGACTACCTTTGCCTTATTAGTCTTTCTCCTGCTTTACTTACTCATTATGTTTGTTTTTTTCTTTTCAAACTGATTTTGAAAAAGAAAAGATACTGAGCACCCTGAGAAGTGGGGAACCAAATCCATCTAAAAAACATTCTAAATAGGAAAGACACCCAATGACTGATTAAAATTGCATTACACAATTTGGATGCAATAAAGCAATTTCTTCTTTCTTTATGAGATTTGCCTTATGTCATGAAAATCAACTGCTCTATGCCTGATGCAGTGTTTTGTTTTCTTGTTATTTTTTGCTGAGTCACCACCAAAATCAGGTTGGCGCTTCAGACAGAACAAAACTTTCTGAGTGCTTTTAGAGGACATACCGCTTGTGGCTGTCTTTGGGACAATGAAGACTGCACTAGCCACGGAGCAGTGCAGAGACCTTTCCCAGGAGAGAATGTGCCAAATCCTGGGGCACCTCTCAGCACAGAGCTCAGAACCTAGCTGTCTTCCAAAGTGGACATGGTGGAACTGCAGAAGATTTGGAAACAGATCCCTATTGCATACATGGAATTATTCTTTAGATTGCCAGGAGGCCCAGAGAAATACAACTGCGCCTAACAACTTGGTTGATATACACCAATAGTTCATTTTTATATTTTTATTTTTTTCTTTATTGATTAAGGCATTACATAGGTGTCTTTATCCTGCCATTATCCCCTCTACTCTCAATCATGCCCTCACCCCCCTGGTGTCCATTGGTTAGGCTTATATGCATACATACAAATCCTTTGGTTGATCTCTTCCCTTTACCCCTGCCCTCCCCTAATTTCCCTCTGAGGTTTGATGGTCTGATTGATGCTTCTCTGTCTCTGGATCTGTTTTTGCTCATCAGTTTATGTTGTTCATTATATTCCACAAATGAGTGAGATCATGTGGTATTTATCTTTCCCTGGCTGGCTTATTTCACTTAGCATAATGCTCTCCAGGTTTATCCATGCTGTTGGCAATGATAAGAATTCTTTTTTTTTTTTTTTTTTTTTACTACAGCGTAGTATTCCACTGTGTAGAGGTACCATAGTTGTTGTTTTTTTAATCCACTCATCTGCTGATGGGCACTTAAGCTGTTTCCAAATCTTAGCTATGGTAAATTGTGCTACTACCAATAGTTCTTAAATGTGTGTTCTCCTAATGATTCTGATGCATGGACCTGTTTATAAACCCACAATAACCCCCATGGCAGCACTGAGGTCACACATATTTAATGGACATGTTTAGCTCCAGCAGGTAAATTCTGCTAGAGGGACAAAGTATAAGTTAAGTAAGAGGTATTAACACTTGCCCAAGATCTATGCAGTAAGCTATGACTTCTAACTATGTAGTAAACTATGACTTCTAGATAAGGGCAATGCAATTTAGAGCACCATTAAAAATAAGCCGAAGCCTGGTTTGGCTCAGTGGTAGAGCATCAGTCTGCGGACTGAAAGGTCCCAGGTTCGATCCAGGCAAAGGCATGTACATTGATTGCGGGCACATCCCTGGTAGGGGGTGTGCAAGAGGCAGCTGGTCAATGTTTCTCTCTCATCGACGTTTCTAGCTCTCTATCTCTCTCCCTTCCTCTCTGTAAAAAATCAATAAAATATATTAAAATTGGAAGGACTGTGAATCTGGGGACAAATGTGTGCCAGCATCTTGAACCTCCACAATTAAAAAAAAATAAAATAAAAAAATAAAAAAAAATGTGCTGGAACAATTCTGCGTCAGTGAAGGCTGAATCACCACGGGGGTTGAATCATTGCTGGCGGCTGAGTCATCACTGGAGGCTAGCTGAGTCGTGCCTCTGTCCTGATGTTCTCTCCCAGGAGTTTAAAGCTTGGCACAAAATTAGGTTGAAGAAAGTCACTCAAGTGAGAAAGAATGCTCTAAGTTTAAAATATTTATAAAGAAAACAATTTTTTAAAAGCTTATTGCTAATAGCATGAGCTAGTTACTTTTATTCTGATATAACTGGTTTAGCCAGCAATGTTTGCCAGACAATATAAATATGCACACAGGCCTGAACTCAAGGACTATTCGGAAGGAAAGATGAACTTATCACTGCTATTCAAAGTACAGCAAAGGCTAGGGCAGCAGGTGAAATTTTCAATGCTAAGAGTTTATTTACAATTAACGACTGCAAAGGTTAAAAAAAAAAAAAGAGTAAGTAAGAAAGGAATCTGACAGCACTGGCCAATGAAAAGGGATAAGGATATATTTCTTCCTTACCGCCCCAGCTTTTTTTCTGGTGGTACCCAGGCAACAGAATCCAACATCATGACCTTGGAAGGCAGAAGCATAGTCGTCCAGCTTTTCAAAGTCCACCACCTCTTGATTCTAGACAACAAGGACACAGCTGAATAAAACTTGATGTTATTCTTTAAAACAGCCCTCTACATTTAAAGAATAAATTACAGAGCATTAGTGAAGAGTCTGACCACTTAACATCAAATTTTGCAAGCTCATTTTCTCCCACCAAAATTCAATTAATCTGAATTTCAAATCAGCAAGGCACTAACACAGCCCTGGCACACCTAATTGGACTAGGGGTGATCCAGATCACAAAGTCAGGTTCAATTATAATTTTCTCTCTGGAAAAATAAAGTACCTGTCTGCATATTACCAGAAGGAATACCAATGCAATGAGGTAGAATGTGGGTTAAGGATGGCATTTGGAACCTCAAATACCTACATTGGTGTCTTGGGCCTGGTACTTCCTAAACATGTGATTTTGGCCAATTTATTTTCATCATATGCCTGTTTTTCAGGAATAAAATGTAAATTAAAATTTTTCCTTCAGCCCAATCCACGAACTACCTGCATTGGGTGCTGGATAAAAGAGCATATTCTTAGGTCTCACACCAATACTTCTGAGTCAGAAACTGCACTTTTTTTAATTAGCACCCTTAAAAATTCTCATGTTCACTAAAACTTAAGCACCATCATCTAACCTAAGTTTGTTATGAAATTTAAAAAAGAAAGTTTGAGAAGTTCCCATCCATCACCTCGGAACTCAAGTAAAATGCTGCTTTCCTTCCCTACCATCACCTCTTTCAAAAGAATTTTCCCAGCACTGTACGCAATGCTAAAGGAAAATGTTTGCATTAAGTGCCTGACCTAAAGATGTGCCACCAGCAGAAACTGGTTTGGCTCAGTGGATCGAGCTTCGGCCTGCAGACTGGAAAATCCCAGGTTCGTTTCTGATCAAGGCCAGTAAGGGGTGTGCAAGAGGCAGCTGATCGATGTTTCTAACTCTATCCCTCTCTCTTCCTCTGTGCAAAAAAATCAATAAAATATATATTTAAAACACACACACACAAAAAAAAAACATGTGCCACCAAAACTAGACTTTCAAAGCACAGAGCTCGATTTCAGTTTCTAATTATCAGAAGTATCGTCTACACCCCATGAAGCCAGACTAGGAAGGCTGCATGTTACTGCCTGCAAAGATGTCCATTTTAAGCAGGAAAGTCCTGATGGATGAAAGCATATGCAAAATGACCCGACCTTGGACTTGCAAGAGTCAAAAACATTTATTCGTGAGACTATTTGTTATCTGGAAGGTTCCACCTGTGAAAACTGTGGGACCAAGTTCTATAATTAGGGGGTCTCAGGATTATATTATAATTGACTGAGTTTCACAAATAACTCAGGACTCTCCACGAAGCTCAGACTTCAAATAGTTAGGGTGTTTGCACCACCTTGAAGTCTGGTATATTGTTTGATTAGCCATGAAAGTGTAAGTGATAGTCAGGGGAAGGAATATTTCACTTACAGACACAACACTTGCAGCCCTGGGAAGTCAGGCTGGGCAAATTCTTATATGTGAACCCTACTTTCAATGCCAGAGATGGTTTCTGCTGTGCACAGCATTTCCTGATCTATTGACAAGATTGGTGTAGAGTGAACAGGGAGACAAAACAAGCAAAGTGGACTGTCTCGAGAACTCAGATTGAATGATGCTGAAAGCTATGCTGTTCTTTTTTTTTTTTTTTAATATATTTTATTGATTTTTTACAGAGAGGAAGGGGGAGAGAGAGCTAGAAACATCGATGAGAGAGAGTCATTGATCAGATGCCTTTTGCACACCCCCTACTGGGGATGTGCCCGCAACCAAGGTACATGCCCTTGCCCGGAATCGAACCCGGGACCCCTTCAGTCAACATGCTGATGCACTATCCACTGAGCCAAACCAGTTTCGGCTGAAAGCAATGCTGTTCTGTCTCCCCAGCTCCCACTGCAATCGAGGCCCTGCCTAGACTGAGAGGACTTTGCCCAAGGCCGCAGAGTGAGGGAAGGCCTACAATCAAGGCTTCCAGCTTCCAGCCACCGAGCTCTCAAAGACCGACCTTGGCCATCTTTAGATCACCTCTCGCAGCGCCCACCACTGGCAGGCAATGTTCAACCATTAAACACAACACTCGGTCCACCCACAGCTGAACCACTGAGTCTCCAATACCCACCACATCTGCATAAGCTTCCTCCTCAAAGGTCAGCTTCCTCCGGCCAATGAGCGTGACTCTGGAAAACAGGCGCTGCTCCAGCAATTCCCTTAGGAGCGCTTTGCCCGTCTCCCCGCTGGCGCCCAGAATAAAGACGGATTTATTCTGCATCCGGAAGTCTTCCCGAAGCTTGGGCAGCGCCTCTGCCCCAGCCATGCTACAGAAATAACATCAACAGGTGCAGATCTTAGGGGTTTTAAGAGACAAGTCTGGCATAGCCCCCTGGGAAATGTGTGTTTCCTTCTGGAGGAAGATGTTATTATTCTCCGTAGCCTGGGCCCCGGGGAGGGTGCTGAGTCATCTGCAGGGCCGGCCTGGGAGAGCCCACACCTCGGAGGGGCCCACAAACTGCTGCACCAGGAGGCCTCTCTCGCACTGGTTACCCCAGGTGCTGATCTCTCCTTCCTCCGCCAAAGCGCGGGGCCCAGCTCGGTCCGCAGAGCAGAAGGGTTACCTGGAGCCGGCCCCCGGCCCCGCGTCCTGGCATCGCAGCAGGAGCAGAGCGGCCACCAGCGCCGCCACCGCGGCCGCGGCCCCCGCGCCCAGCGCCGCTGGCAGTTGCATCCGCGCATCCCCCCTTCCCAGGGGTTCCGCGGCCCCTCGCCTCGGACGGTGGGCGCCCCTCCCAGCTCCGTCCTGGGGGTCGGCGGCGGCCACGCCCATGTCCTACCCGCTTCTCCTTCCTGGTGACTCCGCGGTGACTGACTCCCTCGCCCCGCCTACAAGGGCGGGACTTGGGGGAAAAGGCAAAGTTCTTTCTGCGGCCTGGGTGCTGGTCAAGTGAGAGGATGTGCGCTGCACAGCGGGCATAGGATGAGGCCCTGACACCTCCAAGATCCTCTCCCCTGCGTTCTTCTTCACCTCCCTGGGCTGACTTGACCTATAGCCAAGGTCTCAGCCAATAGGCTTGACTTTCTCTGGTCCCTTTCTAAAATCTGTCCATTTCAGTTGGGCACTGGGCATTTTCATCTCGAATTCACCATGTCAAAATGTAAACCTTGCCGAAAGCAGTTTGGCTCAGTGGATAGAGCGTCGGCCTGCGGACTAAAAGGTCCCAGTTCGATTCAGGTCAAGGGCATGTACCTTGATTGCAGGCACATCCCCAGTAGGGGGTGTGCAAGAGGCAGCTGATCGATGATTCTCTCTCATCGATGTTTCTAACTCTCTATCCCTCTCTATTCCTCTCTGTATAAAAAATCAATTTTATATATATATATATATATATATATATATATATATATATATATAGTAAACCTTTCCACCCAACCACTCCAAAGAGGAATAACACAAAGGTATTCCTTGCCTTTCTCCGGTGTCACTATTCCTAAGCATTCACACACTCCTCTCCCCTCCCCTTTGGGCCACCTGGTGATCCGAGCACAGTAATCATCAACCTGGAAAAGCCCTGCCATGGGAAGTAAGACACCACATCTATCTCATTGCTGTAACCCAGCTCTTGGGACAGTTTAGCACTTAATGGGTGCTCAAAACAATTCCTTTGCATGAAAGAATTTATCTATAATCTGGATTTTATATATGAGACCTAGAAGGAGAGTGAGGGTCACCTTGTCAAACATCCTTACTTTACAAATGAGCTCAAGGATGAAGTGTGACTTGTTAAGTCTCAGCCATGTTCTTTAATGGAGACAACATAGCAAAGGGTGTTTAAAAAAAAAAAAAAAAAAAAAAAGGAAGGAGAAAACATGGCAAGTAACTCATGGGCAAAATGTCCTGCCCACAGAACTTCTTGTCCTTCAGAGTTCAACTTTCCCACATTATGCCATCTCAAAAGACAGTTCCCTGCTGAGGGGAGTCTGCTAAGATACCATGTCTTCTTTCCAACGTGAGGGAAGGCACATAAAGAACCCAAGGGTCCCGTGCAGAAGACAGTGAAGGAGCACTAGGTAGGGCAGAGGGTTTTATTTAAGACAGAGGGCCGGATGAGCAGGGAAGCCACACACAGCATGAGCCCTGAAAGTCGAGAAGAGGTGTGGAAATGGTGTGTTAGTGTCCTAGGGCTGCCATATCAAATTACCACACACTGGGCGGCTTACAACAACGGAAACTCCTTCTCTCACAGGTCTGGAGGCCAGAAGTCTGAAATCAAGGTGCTGGAAGGGCTTTGCTCCCTCTGGAGGCTTAAGAGAGAATTATTTCTCGCTTCTACCACCTTCTAGAGGCTCCAGGCATTCCCTGGTTGTGGCTGCAAGACTCCAATCTCTTCCTCTGTCTTCAAATGGTCTTCTCTTCTGTTTGTCTGTGTCTTTTCTCCTTTCTCTTATAAGGATACTTGTCATTGGATTTAGGGCCTGCCCATATAATTCAGTGTGATCTAATCTGAAGATCCTCAGCTTAATTACATCTATAAAAATTTTTTCCCATACAAGGTTACATTCACAAGTTTTGGGGATTGAATTTGAGTGGACACCATTCAACCTACTACAGATGACAAATAGTACAAATGTTAATCAAATTCTAAACAAAAGGGTTGTCTGATGAGCTATATTTAGTGGGTGGAGTCAGAGCTAGAAGTAGTATGCAGAGAGCAGATAAAAATAGAAGAAGGCTTTTAGTTGAAGCTCTTGTCAGAGTAACCTATAGGATGAAGGCATGGGCCAAAGCAGGAAAGAGGAAGAGGTAATGCATATGAAAAACCTTATAAAATAACTATCATACTTGGTTACTTGAAGTTCTCTGCAACAATATGGGAAAAGCATAGAACTTCAAATAAGACCCAGGCATAAGCCCCAGCTGCCACATTGACTACTATACACTTGGTCAAGTTTTTCATTTTAGTCTCCGCATCTGTACTTTGGGGATAATGGCAACACCAGCATAGTGCACAGATTTACGGCACAGTTCAAATTAAATTCCACATGTGAAGGCAGTATAGGTTGGTAGTTAAGTATATAGGCTGTAGCACCAGTCCACCTGGTTTAAAATCCTCACTCCTTCACCAGCTAGCTAAGTAAGTGACTTTGGACAAGTCCCTTAGACTTTCTGTTCCTTGGTTTTCCCATCTGTATAGTATGACTGATAATTATTACCTAAATCATGGAGTTTTTGTTGGAGGGTTCAATGAGATGATCCAAGTGAATGCACTTGGATCTAGTATGTAGTATGCACGAAATAAACATTATCTTGTCATGGAAACCAACTTTGTAGTTCTGGAAGTACTATGGCAGTGACTTGCAATTCTGGCTCCCCATGGGCATCTCTTGAAGCTTTAGAAAAATAGGTTACTAGGCCTTGCCCTAGTCCTACTGAATCAGGATCAGTGGTTTTTAAAGCTCTGCGGGTGATTCTGCTGCACAAAGGAAATTCACCAATGCAGGACATGTTATTAAGATCCATTTCCTGATAATATTCATAAGGAGAATAAGTATAGTCTTCACATCAGGGAAACCATCTAGTAACCTGAAGCATCCTGAGCTTCTCTTCTCCCTTTTGTAGAGCACTTATATAATCCTTCGTACCATTAGTCACTTTGTAAGTATTCAGTGATTTAATGCCTGCAACATCCTTATGAAGCAGGAATTATTGTTATTACTGATGAGGAAACTGAGGCACAGAGAGGTTAAGCAGCTCACCAAAAGTCACCCAGATAGAAACTGGTAGAGTCAGTCCTAGAGCTAGTCTTCTGGCTCAAACAACTACACCAGATTCCCTCAAAGCTGTAGTGTCTCTCAAAGCGTGTCACCTCTTTAAATCTCAGTTTCCCTACCTGTAAAGTAAGGGTTATAACATTACTGACTTCTTAGGAAACTTGTAAAAATTAAGCAGAGTGCTGCATGTAAAGCACTCAGTCACTCAGCAATGTCTTTAGTACCTGTGGAGTGTGCAATGAAAATCAGCCACTACTGTTAATAATTTTAATATTGTCACTAATTACTCAGTTTCATGGAAACATAGTGCAGGTTCCAGATTACGTCTAAGAATCTGAAATATCTGAGCCTGTTTGTTCATGGCTGGGGTGAGACACCTGATTCAAGCCAACGTGGGATCTGACATTTGCTTTTGCTTCCTGAGCCTCTGTTCCTGCCCAGTGGCCACTGCAAGAGCTTGATAGTGCACGGGGAGACCTGGGAAGCTAACGGGCCATTTCCCGAGAACAAGCAGAAAGCTCTGCAAGACATTGAAGAACAAGGGCCCTTTTAAATAAAGAAAAAGTGAATTGCTTATGTTTTCCTCTTCCCAAGAGAACCTGCCCTTTAATTTCTCAGGGAATTCAGAGTCTTGGGGTAAGGAGTTAGAGAAAGAGAAAGAGAGAGATGGAAGCAGTTTTGCCAGATAACATGTGACACATAGTGCATTTTATAAGTTGCGTGTCTAGGAACAAAAGTGGAAGGAAATTCAAGTTGATAAGGTTCATTACAGCCTAGTGGGACTGGGGAAAACCCAGGTGACAGACTTTTTACAATTCCTGACACAAGTACTGATGAGAATAACATGCATAGAGGGAAAACAAAAGTTTAATCGGTCAGGGTGTGTGTGTGCCTGTGTGTGTGCGTGTGCGTGTGCGTGTGTGTGTGTGTGTGTGTGTGTGTGTGTGTGTGTATGCGTGCGAGTGCATGTAGAAAATAAATCCAGATTCGGTTCCTGGAAGCAATTACTTTCCACCACAAAGCACAAGAGGGCGCCAGAGAAGATGGCCTTTTTTGTTTTCCCTGGAAATGATTAGTATCAGAAAATTCTCTCTGATCTTTTTCTATGAAGACCCTTACTATTTCATTCTCTTAATTTTTTTTAAATGAAATGACTATGTGCATTAGTTTACTGGCTAATACTTTTGGGCAAGGTGGGTAGCTTACAAATGAAAAAGATAAAATAAGTAAGCAATGTTGGAGAAAGCAGAGGTTAAAGGAGATTGCTAGTGATGAGTCCATTCCTTTGTCAAACATTGATTCATTGCTTTCTGTGTGCCTACTAGTTAGATGCTATGGGTGCAAAGAGAAATTGAAGTATGGTAGTAGAAACTGCTGTTTGGGTTCTGGACTTATTTGTTTGCTAAAACAATAGAAAGTTATTTTGATTTTCTGAACTTATGTATGCTATCCCAATACTCCATTGATATCCCATTGATTGTGATCTCACTGGTTTACAGAAGCACATTTTTTTTGGAACCAAGACAGTTCAATTATCCTAAATTGTCTCAGTAACTACAGATAACTGAGTTTCGGTTGATTCAGTGATCCCAGAAACTGGGCAGCACAATTATTCTAAATTGTCCAGGTGGTCTGTCCCAGATAATGAGTTTCTGTTGATTCAGTGATTTGTAGATACTTTACATAACTAACTTGCTCAGTTTCACTTCTGTAAAATCTTGAAACAGGTTCCTCATTCCAGACCCAAAGATGTAATCAATACTTTTGTGATATTCTGCCAATATAAGCCAGATGTGGCAAGCTGTTTGGGGCTGAGAAATTTGGAGCTTTAACCCCTTATTTGCAATTCTCCTTATCCTCTTCATCTATTCATCTATTAACATCTTCAGAGGAAGACTGTAATAGTTAAGCATCAAGGATTTGGTTCAATTCTCAGTTCTGCCATTTTCCAGCTATAATATTAACCTCTCTGGGCCCTACTTTCCTCATTTGTAAAATTGGATGATTACAATACCTACCTCATTGGGTGGTGTGAAGATTAAATGAGAATCCATGCAA